TTTACCAAATATTTTTGGTATTAAAACCTATTTTTACACTTTCATAGTGTTTTGACCCCAATTTGGGGGTTACCTGTTTATCCATAGTTGGGACCCTAACAGGTGCTACCACCCGGGTCAGGGTGGACCTGGGAACACCAGCAATTAAGAGGTGGTTCCATGCTCTTCAAAACCTCCTGATCAGAGACCTTGCTGTTGGACATAGTTTATCGTCTTGCCCAGGATGCGGATGTAGTTTATTGAGTAGAGTGTATGTATGTATGTATATTTAGGCAACATATTTTCATCCAAGCAGATTTGGCTAAATAATTTAGATGTATCATGTCTATTCCACAAATTAACTTCTTGGTGGCTGTAAGAAATTGATTAAGAAAAATTCTCAAATTTTTCTTTCAAATAATTTTTATTTTTCCAAGTAATTTCAATTACATCTGAGACCATCTTCAGGGGGTTAAAATATCTGTGGATGTGTATACAGTAGCTCTGTCAATATTTTTCACTGTTTTACAGGGTTCCAAATTTTTTTTAGCTATGTAAAGGGGGGTAACTTCTGTAATTTTTATTATTAATATTTAAAAATGAAAAAGATTTTAGTTATAATGTAGTATTTTATATAGAATTTTGCTGTCACAAACATTTAATAACTTTGTTGCTATACTCATAGTTGACTTTATTTTTGGCTGCAATTCTCTTATATAAAGGGCTTCCAAAATTTAAAATTTTTGCTTATTATTATTCTGATGGAGTACTAATATATTTTTGACTAATATCTGTCTAAACTGTTAATGTGGACATGAGTGTTCCTATAAATGATTGAACTATGCTCATTCAAGTGAAATGTAAGCCGTCTCACAACATTGTTGTTGTAAAACCAACATATGTATTAATATTTTTATCAGAGATGCAATCTCCCAAAGGACATTTAAATTGATATACAATGTTGGTCATTTGTAAGATGGTACTTGATGGAGAATAATTTTTTTGGATGACTCAGTTAGTTGTATTAAATCTAGTATAGTATATAATTAATTTTAGCTTTTAATTGGATCAGTGGGGGATATATTAGTGTTTATTAGTCTTTTTAGAATTTTTCCTCCTGTTTATGGTTAGAATGCACAGCAGTTTGATATGTTATTTGATGATGTATTATTTTCATTTTTATTTATATTCTCAATAGCTTGTCTAATTTGTTCAATGATGTAATTAGGAAAGTCATTATTAATTAGGGTTTGTTTAACATCCTTCAATTCAGCATAGAAAATCTCTTTTGTTAAAGTGTGTTTCTGCACAGTTTATTAAGTTTCATATTATAGCTATTTTGTAATAGGACATTCACTTTTATAGTTTACAGTGCACGTGCTTATGCTAGTTGGGTTTTTATACAGGGAGGTAGTAAATGTATTATTAGTGTATATCAATACATCAAGAAACATGATTTTATTGTCATTTTATTGTATTGTCATTATATGTGAACTTAAGTAGAGTTCTTTTGAAAGTTTTTTGTAGTTAATGTATTTCATCTGTCTTTGACTAAAATGAGAATGTTATCTTAGTTAAATCAAAGGTTTTTTTCTTATATTTTCAATTGTTTTTTGTTATTTTCTAGGTAGCTAAATGTTGGTCCTAGAATGGAACTCATAGAAACACCATAGCATTGTACATGTATGTTATTTCTATGGTCATAGAAAGAAACTTCTGTAGTGCACATTGAGTACTTTTCTTAAAATATTAGGACAAATTTTTAATGGCAGGAGAGATGGATTGTTGTCGGTATTCTTTATGATTATATCTACTGTTTCCCTGACTGGGATATTGGTGAATAAACTTTCAACATCAAGTAAGGCTATGGTTTCATTATTAGGTTTTTTTGTTTTTAGAATTTGGAGTGGTTCATGTGTTGAATTAATGCTGTATTTATTGGGCATATATGGTGTAATTAGCTGATTAATAACTTTGGTTAGTTGGTAAACAGGAATGGGGATTTGGGATATGATAGGACAGAGAGGGAAGTTAGGTTTATGTATTTTTATAGTTCTATACATGTATCCTGGTTTGTAGGCGCCAATTATTTTAGGGAGTTTTAAGCTATCTAGTCCTGCATTATTAGCTGTGATAAGTTTGAATTTTATTTTAGTTGGTTAATCATATTTTTACCAACCTTTTTAAATTTGGTGTGATTGTTCAGTATTTGTTGCATCTTTGAATAATAATCCAATTTATTTAACATGACAAAGATATTGCTTTTATCCACTTTTTTTTAACTATTCTATTGGTGTGGTTACATAGCTCTTTAGCTGCAGTTTTTTGTTGTTTTGAGAGATGTTTGGATGTGTTTTTCCCTCTGCCATGCCTATCTTTTTAATCAATTTTACACAGCTACCAAGAAATTAATTTGTGGACTTGAAAGGATTAAAGCTAAAATAAATAGACATAATACAGCTAAATACATCTTTTCTGTATTTGATACTAGCAGGCTTCACCCGGTTGCTATCACTTTCCCAAAGATATATTCACTACTTGAAATCTTTGAAACAAATAATACGCGACTTTGTGGGGTGTCAATACCAAATTACTATAAAGTTGAGCTGGGGCTTTTTAATCTCAGAATTCATGGGAGAATTGAGCTCCAATTTCACATTTATTCATAAAGATTCCGTAATATAGGCTTTACTTAATTAGCTATTATATTTCTCTAACTTTTCAAATGTTGCATGTATTACTAATTTATTTTCCGATCTTTACACTATATTAATTTTATTTTATAAATTGTCCCCCATGAAATAAAAATAATTGTTTGTAAGGAAAACAAGAATCTATGTACATCGTCTTTAAATTAAGTGGCAGTAGAAGAATTATTGCTGAACTTGTAAAAGGTAAGCTTAAATATTAATTCAATACTTAAATGCAGCGATCAATTGAGTTCTTCTGCAGGTTATTGATGTGTCTTGCATCTACTCCTCCCTAGTTATTGCGATGATGGCCAAACAGAGTCCTCTACAGGAGTTAGCTTAAATGCCACCTGAGAGGGCAGCTTTTAAGCTAGCTTTGGGCACCTCGTGTGGTGTAATGGCTAGCAATCTTGTCTCGCTAAAACAGATAGAACTGAATAGTGAATTTGATCCTCACTGGGAGCCCCATACTTTTGGCCTTGCTATGCTTGGAAAATCACTATATTTTTAACCTCACATAATCTGGCAACCCCGAATCTGAGCTCAACAAATATTCTCTGCATCTAACTTTTCTAGGGATTTTGAATGAGCTATGAATCATTGAAATCAGACTAGTGGGAGCAGAGGAGTTTCTTGAATATGCACAGACATACACTGTACTTTTATTGTAAATTCAAGCTTTTAGATTCAAAGTGTGACTATATAGTGTTTACGAAAGGATTTAATAAAATCAATTTTCGTGGATTCTTATTTGCATAGAGGTTCTTGATTTTATCATCGTCTAGTTGAATATCTTTGTGAACATACAAAAAACAAAAAAAAAAACGCGTTAACTGTCTTCACTCATTATAGCTTACCTTATTTACTTTGAAAACAAAAAATATTTTCTCAGAAATTGGGAGGGGGGGTGCACCCTCTACGTCACTCCCTGGATCCATCCCCAAGTATGAAATGACTAAAGCTAATAAAGAAATGAGTAAAGTAGCAGTAAAATCTGTGGACAAAAGTTAGTTATATATCTGTACCAAGTTCAAATTGTCATCAAACATTGAGTAGAAATATATAAACTACCATTGAACTTTTGGCAACAGGAATTTGAGATAACCCTATAACTATTAGATTATAAAATATTTATATAACCTATCATAGGTAGGATTTATTAAACAAATGTCAATACTTATACTAAATTTAATTATAAATATGCATATAACGAGAGAAAGAGGACATGATCAGTGTATATAAAAATTGATTAGAAATTATTTTCCTATAGAAATATATTGCTGCTTTAAATAAACTTAAGCAAGTATGTATAACAGAGTTGAGAGAAAATTTTCCTTTATCTTCCACAATAATGATTGCAGGACATTTTTCTTAAATGAAAATAATCAAGTGGATAAATAGCTCTATAGGCTAATATGTAGTTATTTGCTGAATTTTGATCAGAAATTTTCACTGTAAAAAAGATTTGTCAAAAATTATATTACCCTTCTACAAGACATGCCACCAATAGGTTACATATTTGACAATCACCAGCAGTTGACTTTCAAATTAAAGTAGCAACCCACTTACCTTATCTTGTAAACAATTTATATGCTAATAAAAGCTTCAATATTGAAAAAGTATAAATGTTAATAATAGACAAAGTAAATATAGAACAATACCTTGAAATCATACTATCAAGTAAATAATTTTGAACATGTTTTTTGTGTTGATCACCATCTTTTTCTATCTGGCCTCAAGAAGATATATGTTCTCAAAGCCTTTTAATAAAGCATTTTCAAAATATGGTTTTAAAAAGAAACAGAATAAGTCTGAAACAGTTTTGCTGGAAAATACTTGTTTTTTTAACATTACTTTATTAGGAAGAAATGATTAAAGCAAATAGAGACAACTTGCATGCTGAAATTTTATCTGGATACTTCAACAGTCAAAATTTCACCCAAACTAAAGATCAAAATAAGAGCTTTGTGAAATGTTCTGTATTTTTATAGATTTTTTTTAAAACAAAAAGTAAAGAAAATGTAATTTAATTCTTTATATATTAGAAGAGCAGAGAAATTCAATGTTAAAGCAGAAAGTTTCCATTACATCTGGTTAAAAAAAAAAAATGTATGCTCAAGAAAAACATTAACTATTTTTAACCAATTCTATCTTTCATTTTGTATTGCAATCCAATTGAAAATATTAAATAGACAGAAGAAATTAAATATAACGGATTTAAAAATAAAATTAAAAGCTTTTTATAATTTTTATTTTATTTTTTTTTGTTGAATTCTTGAAGAAAATGAAGTCTCTTAAGCAATGCAGATTAGTAAATAAATTTGAGTCATTTTAACGAGATGCAAATTTTTTTTTGTATTTCAAGTCAATAAATGAAGTTTGAGCCATTTTCTCCAATTTTGCCAATTCAGACACAGTCGGTGCCAACTGAGCTACATGTCCTTGATACATAGAACCAAGGTTACGTCTCTTCTGACCATAATTCACCTTTCCATCAAACTCAAATACAGGAATCTTCATGTCAGGTTCAACTTTATCAATAGTGATGTCTAAATGCTCTTGAATATCATTCAAAAGCTTGGGTTCATCATACCATATGCAGCAGCCACCTCTATCAGTGAGGTTAGTATTGTAACAGCCTTTTCCTCGTGTGTTACAGTTTGAGTGGTACCAAACTTTCTCCTTTTTCATGCCAACCATTGAGATAGCCAATCCCATCCTTTCTGCTCGTCCAACACGACCAATACGGTGAATGTAGTTCTGCTTTTCATCAGGTAGGGTTACATTGATCACATATGGCAAACCACTCACGTCAATACCACGGGCAGCTACATCAGTGCAAATCAAGAAACGAACCTTGCCATCTTTAAATTTCTGCAAATTAGCCTTGCGTTCAGGGGGCTTACGATCACTGTGCAAGCAGACACAGGTTATTGTACCTCGACCACGTTCCATTAGATATTTTTCCATGTTGTCACAGTCTAATTTAGTACGACAGAAAATCAAGCCTCGGTCTATGTTGTGTTCATTGATTGCATTAATTGTATACTCGCCTTTGAGGATCTTGATGGCTTCAGACAGCATCTCAGGCGATGAGAGATTGTTATGATTGTCTTTGTAATGAACACCATCAGTCTGGATGTGGCGCTTCAGAGTCTGCCACTGTGTATCTCTGTATGGATCAACTTCACAGACAACATGATGTACGGTCTCAGGAACAGAATCCTGGCCTTTCAAATCAATCCATGTTGGGAAGTACATGAGACGCTCAGCCATTTTTTTCACATCAAATGAATGCAAAGTAGCAGAACAAACAATCATCTGCAAACGGTTACCATCATTTGTCACTTTAGGAATCTGTTGATGAAGACGGTTTATCAGATCACCATAGCCTTGTGAGAGAAGACCATCAGCTTCGTCCAAGACAAAGAAACGAACTTGGTGTAGGGCCAGTTTACCAGTTGAAATTAAATCTTCCATTCGGCCAGGTGTGCCAACAACAATATCTACTCCTTGTTCAAGACGGTCACATTGCTCTTTAGAGCTCACACCTCCAATAATAAGAAGTTCACGAATAGTGGGATTATTTAAATTTTTCTTGAATTTCTTTATCTGATCATGTGTCTGTTCAGCCAACTCCCTTGAAGGTTCAATAATTATTGCTTGGGGAGCATTTGGCGCTGGTTTATGGGATGCAGGTCCTGTTGATTCAATCCGGGACATACTAACTGCTTCTTTAGGGGCTTTAAATAGAGGAATGTAGCTCTTATCTGGTGGATACTTGAAAAGGTCCTCGCCAAAGTTCACTTCCATCTCCGCATTTTTCAGTACAAGGGCTGCGTGAAACTTATCGTTTCTCAGCGGGCCTGGAATATCAAAAGCTTTACCAAGATCAATACCATTTTTAGAAAATTTTATACAACCTCTTTCCAAATCCAGAAAGCAGCCGATAACGTCATTTATACCAAACGATTCTCCGTAAGAATCAAACTGACGATTGTTCGATTTCTTACCTGTGCCACCAAAACCAAAACCATATTTATCAGTACCCAAATCCAGCGATGCATTTCCAGTAGACCAGCCTACACGGCATAGACCTTCATCTGTAACAGTTGCCTCGAAAAAATATCGTCCACTTTTTCCAAAAACACACTTATTGGAGCGAGCACCATGCCAGCCTGAAGGGTCGCGTGCCTGACATAGACGGCCCTCTGAATCAATAGCCATAGCATCACCACGGTCGAACACATTCATTTTCCAGTTTTTGGAAGTCTCAACAGACTTTAGTCCCGGTTTACCGATTCCCTTCCCTTCAGACTGGTCCTTGAGGGCTTCATGAACGATCTGCAAAATTGGAAGACAGAACGCCCCCGTTTTTCCACTGCCGGTTTCTGCCGCCATTAAAACGTCACCACCACCAAGAATCATAGGAATGGCCTCTGACTGCACGTCAGTTGGCAACATCCAATCCATCTCTTCTACAGCTTTACCAAGTTCTGGCATGACCCCCATTTCTTCAAATGCAGTCATCTTTCACTGATTATTTTAAAACTCAATAGTTAAAAAAAAAATGAAATCGGTATGTAATAAAGAAAAAGCAACTTTACCAGACCATAAGACAGGCTCACGCAGCAGTAAAAGCTTGCACAGAAGTAGGATACCGCACTAAATAAGTTGTGCTTGACTATTTGATTAAAAAAAAAAAAAAAGGCTCAAATGATTTATGTAAATTACTTGAAAATAATTTTTTTTAAAAAATTCCCTATAAATATATGGTAAATTTATTTATATGTATTTTTTTTTCTTTCGAAATGAATCTTCAGGATGGTCATTACTCTTCTTGACAAGATTATTTAGTGCGTACCTAGGATTTTTTTTTTTTTTTAAGTGAGAAACATGCGCAACCGAGATGCGAATGGTGGCAGGATTTTTTTGCTTTGTTATTTTTCAAAGTTGCTTCGTAAAGTTTTCTTGAGATATTTCTAACGCGTTCATTTTTATTACTTACCGAAGTAGCCTTTGTCGAAATTGTTTCACCTTAAAACTTACAGAATGGCTGCGAGGTGGAGTATCGAACATTTTATTAAAGACCTGAAAGATCTTCAGGTAAAAATTTCTTAAAATTCTCGCTAATGTTTTTGTTTAATTTTGTCAAGTCTTCGAAATTGTTTTATCGTACTTCAAAATTATGTAAGTTTTTAATTTCACACATTTTTGACTTTTGAGTGTGTACGTTTTTTTTTAATTTGAAAGGAGAAACGAAATGACAGTCTTGAACTTGATATTTCACAGAATAAAAATAGATTTGTTGTGAGTAGATAAATAAAAAAAGTGTTTATAAAATTTATTTTAAAACCCCTTTTTCTTTTGTGGTGGTGAGGATTGCTTCATTAAAAAATAGAAACACTTTGAATTTGATGAATCTTTTAAACTACCTACTACTTCCAACATTCATGTCTTTTCAATTCTTTTTTTTTTTTTTTTTTTTCCTTTTTCTTTTTTAACTTAAAAAAAAATACAAAACTACGTTCTTTTTTTTTTCTATTTCGGTTTTACACGCAATGTTTTTAGTTTCTTTTTTCATTTCGTATGCTTTAGCTTACGTTTCGTATGGTATAAAAAAGAAAAAAAAGCACTACTGAAAATATTTTCAACTTTATTGAACTAAAAATTATCCGATATTTAAAGAATTAAAGAAAAATCTCTAACTGCACCTATTAACTTCTGCGATATTAAGTGTCAAAATAATGGTTAAATTGTTGTAAATTAATCCAAAGTTTTGCAAGGATTTTGCTTTAATAAAGTGAAAGTAACTAAAAACACAAGTGTTTTTTGTTTTTTTTTAGGCAATAATCACAAGTTAAATGTATAGTCATAGAAGTTTAGAGATTATTTATTTTTAGAATTTTAAGCTGTAATATTTTTTGCATTAGGATTTATTTTTACAATTCTACTTGACAAAAATTTTTATTTCACACCTCTATAAAGGAGTAAAAAATGTCTGTTCAGTGCATTCATTCAAGGAAGTTTTTCTAAAAAGAAATGTTTTCTTCAATGAGAAAATATCCTCAGAAAATAAAGTATTTGGATTAAGAGATTTTAAGAAAATAACCTCATCGTTATTTTAAAAATTAAAAAATACGAATGTTATTGTCTTCAAATCCGCACCTAAACTAACTGAACGCGAAGTACAGTGTCATTGTTTTTTGATAGGAAAAAACAAAACAGATCTATCATTTTCTTATCTATTTTTGACACGGAAACAAGATAGCCAGGTGCGCCTCAAGTTAATTAAAAAAACTGAATAGCAATAATTTGAGTTATTTATTTAAAAATCTTTAATTGCATTATTATTATTCGGAACTTGGTGGGTGTTAATAATTGAGAAATTATCAATTCAGAAAACTAAGTGATCGAAATTTGCATGTCTAAACTCATGAGTAACTTAACCACAATAAAAAGTGTTTTTAAGTTTGATTCCAAGAATTGTTTAAAATCATAAAAAAAAGGTACCAATATATTTCTTTTTTTACATAATTAAAATGAGTCTTAAACTTAAATACTAAAAAAACATTTTAAAAAAAGATAATTTTTGGCACATTAAAATTGAAATATATTTTTAATTAAAAGTAAAAATCAAAAAAATATGAGTAACTGATTAGTTAAAAAACATAGCAAGTAACTTTTCTTCTTTTTTTTTAATCTAAATAGCAAAATAAGTTTATTTTTAGTATGAAAAAAATAAAAATGGTTAAAGAAATTGAAGTAAGTTTAAAATTCCAACTGAGAGCTTGTTAAAAAAACTATAAATTTATAAAAAAAAGTACTTGAAAAAATAAAAAATATTTATTGCAGTAATAAAACCTGCTTTCTCTCGGCCTTCACGTGATTGGAATTTCGAACCGAAACTTTTATTTCGTTCACCGGGGTAGATTGTTCTAGTTCCACGTGTCATGCCTCTTCCGGATGTCTCCGTTATTTCCCTTTAACTCAACTCTCCCAAGTTTTTCGTTCACCACTGCTGTGGCCGGGTATTGAACTCACAACTCTTTGGATCTAGTGACTCTAGTCACTGGATCTAACCAACGTCTTTATCCACTGGGCCATGTGTTTTGATTTGAAATTCCAGTCACCTGAAGAAGGCTGGAGTGTACAACGGCTGAAACATTGTGAATCATATGGCAATGAAGGTGAGGATAACAGTCCGAATAATGTAAATAATGCAAGTAATCATAATACCTTATCTCAGAGATATAGATAGATATTTGCTTATTTCAGGAGATTTTTTTTCCCTATTTTATTTTTAAATTTCAAGACTAATTTTTCCTTATTAAAATTCAAGGCGCACCCCAGAGATTTTTTTTTTTAGTTATTCTACAAGTGCACCCTGAAGTAAAAGTTAAGAATCACTGGACTAAAACAATGGTGTTTAAAAAATGGTCATAAACAAATTTTGTAATTTAGACACCACTTTTCTTTTTTTACCCCATTTAAAAATAATTTGTCATGTGCAACAAAGCAACATTTTAAATATTTTTAAAAATTATTTATTTTTTTATTTTAATGTTATTTTCCTGGAGAAAGCAGGTTTTATTACTGCAATAAATATTTTTATTTTTTCAAGTACTTTTTTATAAATTTATAGTTTTTAACAAGCTCTCAGTTGGAATTTTAAACTTACTTCAATTTCTTTAACCATTTTTATTTTTTTCATACTAAAAATAAACTTATTTTGCTATTTAGATTAAAAAAAGAAGAAAAGTTACTTGCTATGTTTTTTAACCAATCAGTTACTCATATTTTTTGATTTTTACTTTTAATTAAAAATATATTTCAATTTTAATGTGCCAAAAATTATCTTTTTTTTAAAATGTTTTTAGTATTTAAGTTTAAGACTCATTTTAATTATGTAAAAAAGAAATATATTGGTACCTTTTTTTTATTATGATTTTAAACAATTCTTGGAATCAAACTTAAAAACACTTTTTTTATTGTGGTTAAGTTACTCATGAGTTTAGACATGCAAATTTCGATCACTTAGTTTTCTGAATTGATAATTTCTCAATTATTAACACCCACCAAAGTTCTGGAAGCAAGTTGATTCAAGAACTAAACTAAATAACATTCCTCTCATTTCTTATTTTTCAAATCCTGTGTGATATTTTTAATTTTAACTTAAGCATGCTTGTTACTTAGTACTTTGATTGCTTTCAACAGATTATTAAGGCTTTCTTTCTTAATTGTAAAAAATAAAAGAAAATTACTTATGCTTGAATGTTTAGTTGTAAACTTGAAAAAAAGTCATGTTTTTAGGTTTTCACATATTACACTGAATTCATAATTAATTGAACAGAGACTGTTATGAATTCATTGATTTGTTTTTTAAATCTTGTTTAAGTCTGTTCGTAAAATATTTAATGTCTTAATATGAATTTATCCAAACTGAAATGTAGTTTTTAATTAAACCTTTTGTTTTGATAAACATCTAAATACAGAGTTATGAACAAATTTATTCATTGAAATCACATGGAAATTAAAAAAAAAATGATAGTTAATGTATCTCTACACTACAGATAATTAAGATACAATAATACAAGAATGTCTCTATATATTCACTTTTTAATTATTTTTAATATTTTAATTGAACTGATTAACTTGCAGGCTACTACCATGGCTGTTGATTGTCTTGGACAGTGGGTTCTTCTTGGAGGGTAAGGTCATATTTCTTAACATTCTTTTCTGAAAGTTTCTGAAATATTGGATCTTCAAAAATCTAGTTAAGAAATGATTGTATAATCTGTATTAGAATATTTGACAAAAGCTTGAAAAATGAAACTTACACAGTTGATTGTACATTACTAAGGCTTAAATTCTATTGACTAATTTTTTTTTCTTTTTAAAATAATTTACAATAGGGAGGCTCTGATGTGAAAATATTCAAATACTCTATTTTTCCTGAAAAATAAAGTTTTGCTTAGAATCTTTGATTTTTGTAGGGAGCATCCTCTTATATTCTTTTAAACTTTATTGCAATACAGGCCATCATAATTTCAGGGATGATTAATTATATTACTTACAGTTGGAATGTCTCCATCAGGGTAACCTTCAGAGATTTTTGAACTGAACACATTATTTAATCAATGCAGGTAGATTGTTCGTGTTACACTGTTCATGTCTAAGAATGTCTTCTTTTGAATTAGTACTGCTCAGTTAAGGCTAACTCTGTTTCCCATTAGTTTGTGTCTATACTACTTGGCACAGGGATGAAACTCACAATTATGTCACCAAATTACTTTAATCTTTTAGGCTGTTGCCCTGAGAGACAACCCTGAATCTTTAACTTAGTATTATAATACATATATTTATTACAAAAATGCTATTAATGAATTGGGAATTTTTATGTCTTCTTTCAGATAACTTTTTACTTCATACATTTATCATCATCAGTCCTGTGACTTATTGTGATTGTAGGGTTACTTCACAGCTGATCACCTAACTAGTCCCTCCACCTTCACATATCTGCATTAAAAGCTGGAAAGGTGTTCATTCATATATAGTGTGTCTTGGGCAACAAGACCAGGTGGAGCCCACCTCTCTCCAGGCCAGGCCACGGCAAATGTCCTTCATCTTGAAGGCTTGTTTTTGTCAGGTTTGGACATGTAGCTGCTGATTCCATCAAACAATGCCATGTCATCACTGCACTGGCTGCATATATAGTTATGGAGTCCAGTCTACCCCATTATGCTAGATAGCCATTGACCCTACAAGAATGTTCATCTGCCTTTTGGCTAGTCTTGTTTTAATTTTACTGGGTGTGTAGCCACATTCTTCACCAGAAAAACCTGCTGGACCACCAGTTTAATTGGTTGGCAGTACTGGGTTACACAGTACCAGTTGCTCTCATAGAGTAACCTGACTTAAATTGTCATAAGTTCAGAGATTCATTTTTAAAAAAATTTATTTCTGACATTTTCTTTCTATATGTGTCAACAAAAATAAAAATTTTGTGATCCTTTACACATGCGCACACATACACATATATTAGTGATGGGACAATACCAATATTTTTACCAATTCTGATACAATTCCAGAAACTGTTCTTAATTTCTGATACAATTTCCAATTTTGATACCTCAATGATTTAAAATTCATTTTTTTCAGGCCCTACAGTTGGTTTGGGAAATTTAATGAACAAAGTACATTTATTAATACTACATTTAGTAGAAAGATGAATACAAGAGCTTATGGAATAACGTTAGATATCCTTTTTATTTAAAAAATTGGGTAAGAGTTTAAACAATAAAGAGAACAATTTCTTTACAAAAATCACTTAAGTACCTTGCTACATTTGACATATTGCTTTAGTTTGGTTATCATCAAAAATTTAAAAAAACTCTTCCAAATTACACTTTTCTGCTTGGCATTGGATATGCTTGCCATAATTGGGGTCTGAAAATAATAAACATCAGTTAAAATTTATATTTTTTGCTGTTAGATAAAAAATGTTTCTACTTTTTTAATGTGTATAATTTGTAAAGATTCAACTAATGGTTTGCTATTAATTGTAAAATAACAAAGGGTCTATGTTTTGTCCACTTTTTTTTAAGTTTTAACAAGCAAAGACACCTAAATATTATGCAATCTCCTTAAAATTTTATTTGCGGCATTTCTCAATGAATAGAACAAATTTAGAGGTGACAATTCAATTTCAACATGCACTTTAAAAATGAGTCCTCTGATATATATATATATATATATATATATATAATATTGCAACAATAATACTCTAAGCCAGCAGAAAGTATATATATATATATATATATATATATATATTTATATATATATATATATTTTGCTTAAAAGTACATAAAATAAAGTACAATAGTACCTAATCCTGCAGGACAGTGAAAAAAAAAAAAAAAAAAAAAAAATGTAAATTTTGAATTTACTTACAGATGTTTAATAAGAATTAAATATGAATTATCACAGCAACTTAATAAATAGGGTCTTCAATCTTATCTAAATTTAATCACTAATAAGTTTTACTGTCTAAAATAAATTTCTCACAACTAAAAAATTTAATGATTTAAAAAAAAAAATGAAAATGTGTTTCATTTGTGATAAAAGAAAAAATAGTAAAAGTGCAACAACATAGTAAAAACATATCCCTTGATTTTTTTTTTTTTTTTTTTTTTTTATTAAGAAATATAAGCAATTTTAGCAAACTTTACAATAAATTAAAAAAAATATTAGGAAGTTGAAAGGTAAATAATGCTGATATCTAACATTTATAAAGGTATTAGATTCAACTGTTACAAAGCATTAAAATAAAAATAAGATTAAAAATGACTAAAATCTTCATAAGGATGAGAACAACTGTAAATGTGCATTTTTTGCATGGGATTGATTTTTTTTTTTTTTTTTTTTTTTCAATTATTAGATTATTAGATGAAATTTTACTAGTTTTATTTTAAAAATATTAAAACAAATCATGTTAAAAGTGTAAAAAAAAACTATAGCTTAATCACACCAGATAAAAATGGGATAAAAATACTTGTTTTTAATTTTTTTTTACCCACTTTTACTTATGAAACTTGCATCTTGTTTGGCTCCATGAAAGAATAAATGGGAAAGTTCAAAATATTTTTAATGCCAAAATAATTTAACACAGGAAAGTTCAATTATGCCAAAGAAAAATATTAGTGAAATAAAATTAAATACAATTTTTGATGGAAATTAATTTTTAGATTTTTTATTACAAACTTTTTTTTTTTTTTTTTTTTTTTTTTTTTTTTGTTTGTGTGTGAAAAGCTTTTTTTCAGGAAACTTCAAATAAGTTTGTTTATTTTTTAAGTAAAGATGAAAATCCATATTGAAAGCTATAAAATTTTAAGAAATACATGAATTTCATAGAAACAAATTTAAGTTTCATAAAAAAAATGTTTACTTTTATAAGTCTCAGTTATTGAAAAGATTTATTTTTGTTTACATAGGTACTACATAAACAAAAATGAATCTTTTCAATAACCAAGACTTAAAAATGATTTTATGGATTCAAACTATTATAAAAACAAATTTTTCTAATTTAACTGCCTCACCACAAGGTCAATTTTTTATGGGAAGAAATCAATTGTGACTGGTAGGAATTCTATGCATTCATTTTTTTTCCTATTAATAAATTAAAAAAAAATAGCAGAACAATAACATGAAATCATTTGGTGTTTATATTACATAATTTTGATTATAATTATTAAATTAATTTATAATATTAAATGGGTGAATTAACAATGTTTAAAAAGAAATTAAAAATATTTTATTTTGAACTGAAACAGACTTTAAACTAGTGAACTTTATGGAAAGTGCAAGAACTGACTAGAAACTTGCACACACGTCCTTTTTTTTGCTTTTTTACACAAGTAAAATAACTTTACATCATACTTTGGTGTTATTATGATGTACAGATTTTAGTTTTACTGATAGTTTAAAACCAATAAATATTTATATATTTTTATCATTAGTATCAGGGATGGAAAATTAATTTTTAAGCAAAAAAAAAAAATTCAAAGAATTGTTTTTGGAATCTGAAATTAATGTGACATTAAGGCCTTTTTAACATAATCTTCCCACACATACAAAAAAAAAACAACAAATAGTCCAGTTAACATTTTTTTTTTTTGTTTCAAAGGACTCTGTTTATTTAAAAAGCTAATGGAGAAAATCAGTTAAACAGTCAACATATCAAACCATGATCTGAATTTTTATTTTTTTTTTTTTACAATGTCTGATGTAATTTCAGTTTTAAAAATTTAATTACGGTTACCAAATACAAAACCCAGCTGAGGAAAATAAAGTACACCAGCTGAAATAATGTAATAAAAACAAATAAAGATAAAGAATCATTGAATGCTAACAGTAATTTGTCTTAGAAGTTCAGATAACAAGTTATATATTAGCAACTTACTTTGAAATGAATTTTTTATTTTTGTTTTTAGTGTTTGTTTTTACAGTTTTTGATATTTATTATGAGATATAAAATATAGCTTGTAAGGGAGGAAAAGATAGAAAAATTGTAGCAGCCAAAAAAATGTTGGAAGGAAAATTTCATACAGAATTGTATATACTAAAATGTTTTTTGTTGTTTGAATATAAACATTTATATATAAAGCACAAACAAGAAAATAAATAAAACTTACTAATAAACTAATGCTAATTTAGCCTAATTATAAAATATGATGATCAGTGAATATTAATGTTTTTTTTCCTCTTGCAGAAAAAGAGCCCTCACTTTAGTCAGTTTAGCAAATATGAACAATGTTAGAAAGATTGAACGTATCAGCAAATATGACATCAGTTGTATTCAGTGGAATCCGCATCCAATTGCCGCACAAAAGTTTGCTGTGGCTGTAAGTTGAATAATATTTCTATATTCTTTGTTTTGCTATTTGTATTTACTTGTCAGTTATTCTCTTAATGATTTACTGAAGATTTATCACATTTCTGAGTCTCTTTTTATAATGATGTAATTTTTTCAATGTGAGAGCAGTATTTTAATAATGACATATTCTGATCAGGGTGTTATGTTTAGGTCTGCAACAAACCAAAGTTCTAACCACACTCTCCTTCCTCTTTAGTATCTGGATTATGTTTCCCTTACTGTAGCCAATGATGTTGCCATATTACTTACTGCTAATCTTTTTTCTTTTCTTTTTTTAACCCTCTGCTTGCAGATATCATATGCATGCACTGACAAAGATCATTCTAATCATATAGATTAAAAGATAAGGATAACCTCTCTAGGGACCATTTGAGTGCAAATTTGTAATAATAGGCATTGTAACTATTTCTCCCTACTATATTAATGTTGTTATATACCAGTCATGTGAACTATAATTTTACTAGCTGTACCTATGGAAATTCCACAGGTGTTTGCAACTAAGATTATACATTATCTCTGTTAATTACTCACCTTTCATCCATATCTTCTTATTTCTCTTATATCTACCATATTGCCCATCCATGTCGCTATTAAAATGCTATACCAACATGGATTAGTTTCACATACAAAAAATAAAATGTGCACAAAAATGTAAATATTTTCTCCTGCATCCTCTCTCTTATCTTTCTTTTGCTCTGTTTCCATAAAGAATTTCAACATCTTGTCGTTTCCACTCTTGCCTGCTTTTTGTCTCTCTCTTTATATTCAACAAACCTTTTCTGTTTTTCATATCTGTGCTTTCCACCCTCTCTCGATACATTTTTTCATTTGGTTTTCTTTTGATTTTTTTCTATTTTTTCTCACCTCTTTCCCAATTTCTTCCCATTTAATAGTATTATGAGGGTTTCTTTGTTCAATCTAACTGATTCTACTTCAGAAGGGCTGCAAATCAGTCAGCTACTACAGTCTAATCTTAGACAGAAAAGCATACTGGTCTTACATACATGCAGAATATTAGTAAAGATTAATTACTTATGTGATTGTATAAGCAATAAAAATTATTTGGGCTTACCACCATCCATCCATCCATCCATCCATCCATTGTTTTATTTCTCTCCATCAAAATATTTTTTTTGCTAACTTTTGTTCCCCCTCTATATTGTGTAGATCTTTTCAAACCAAAAAACTGAGAAAGTATTTATCATTATTCTATTTCTAGACTCCGGTTATTTGAGCTTCTTGAGAGTCAAAACTAAATTTGGTATGCGGGTAGAATGAGTTGTAAAAAGGAAATACCTATAATGGTCATCAAACACGAGTTAAATGAAAGCAATAACTTTTTAGGGGTAATAGTAAAATTAGCTGTTTCTGTACAGAAAATGTTCAGAATTCATTGAGTACTGAATAGTGTTACTGTCTCATGAAACTTAAGTCCTTTTCTTAAAACTTTTTTTTCAGGTAATTAGACTTTTCAAGTTCACCGTTATCACTCTTTCTAGTACTGATGGTAGTTTCTTTCCACGTCTTTTGCTTAAGGTAGTGTGGAAAATTAAACATCTTGATTATATCATTATTTTCTCTTCTAAATGTTACCCATTTTTGTTGTTGCTGCTGTTAGAAGTCTGCAAGTAGTATTATTTTTGTTATTTGGTAAAGGTCTCTGTTTATGATTTTGTAGTGTCTGTCTATAGGATCTGATGAAGAATTGTCTTAAAGACCTAAATGATTTATTTTCTTGAAACCATTCGTAATCATTGATTTGAGAAAATGGTTGTATAAACTGTAGATGATAATTTAGACATTTCTGAATGAGTTGGGCATTATGCATGACATGTAGACAAAGTTATTTAAAAACATGACTCCAAGTTTTCAAGTTAATATTTTGGTTTTGTAGCATCTTAGTGTTGTAGAAAGTGCAGCTTCTCCTGTGTTCAGTTCCTTTGTTTCCCATTCTAAATTTATTATAACTGACCCATACAACAAGGTATTTGAAGTGTTTAGAATTTATTAATTTCACATTCTGAATTTTTATGATGGATCAAGGTATGTGCCCTTATTATTCCAATTCTTGAGCATAGCTTCTGTTTTGGAAAAGTTTAACTGTTTTTTTATGCTCTCAGTAAGATCTCTCAAAAAATGTTTAATTTCCTGCAATTATAAAGGAATGCATGTTCCAGTTTAGATGAACCTCTATTATATGATCTGTGCATTAAATTAAGCCTTGGATATCATTACTTGTTACGCTCCTATCATGAAAGATTTTTTTTTTTTTAAGTAAACCCTTAATTTCTCTATGTACTCTGGTAACATACACTTTTTTATTTTTTTTATACTAATGTGTCACTTGAAATATTTGTTCTTAAATTTTGAAACCATTTTCTTATTTCCTGTTTGGTTCAATCTGAAGACCAGATGACACATCTGGAATTTGTGACTAGATATATACAGAGTATGGCTGGTATTTGAGGACAGATTTTATGGATTAGTAAAAAAACTTGCTGAACAAATGAATATAATTATTTGATTACAAACAAGTAAACATGAAATTTAGCTAACTATTATTTAATTTTATTCAATAAAACCACTACTAGCATCAATAACTGCCTCTACACGAGGTCAAAATCGGCTGCAAGCTCTAATTAATTGATCCTTATTTATATCAGACATTACTCAAACTATTGCAGCTTTAAGAAAGTCTCTGGTGTTATGAAGCTGTTTATTAACCTCCTTCTCAACAACGATCCACGCATAATAGTCTTGTGGATTGAGGTCTGGAGAGTTAGGAGGCCAAATGTTGGGTGTGATGTGGTCGTACATATGGTCAGCCATCCATTCTTGTGTTCGTGGAGCCGAGTCTTGCTGAAATATGTAAGTCCTGCCGTTGTATATGTTGTCAATCCAGGGCTTGACAACTGTTTCTAGAACCTCAATGTAAGCAGCAGCATTTACTCTAAGACCTTGTGGAAAAAAGTTTGGTGGCATAACATGTCCTTCATTGCTAACAACACCCAATACCATAACACTTGAAGGAAATTTTGTCCGGATCACTCTTGGCACCTCAGAAGGATCTGAACAAAGCCATCTGTCATTTCTTCTGTTAAGTTTTTGATCTTGAGCAAAATTTTTCTCATCTGAGAAAAACCAAATCGCACCAGCTTTTGAAGGATTTTTAGTTTGTTTAAAAGCCTTTTGGATCTGTTTAAATGGTTTTCTTTTGTTTTTCAGACACAAATTGACCTCTCTTCATCACGTAGGACTTGTATCGAATGTCTTCATGAACACTCCTGATTGTTTTTTCAGACACATGCAGCTTTTTGGCAATTGCCCTCATTGATTGACCTCGGTTTTCATCAGTTGTCTGCTTGACTTCCTGAATAAATTTGGATGTTCTTACTTTATCAGAACGTGCAGAATGTCTTTTACGTTTTGATACTGACACTGGGGAATTGACAGTGTTTTCTAACTCTCTTTGTATCATGTGGACAAATGATCTTGCAACTTTGAGAAAATGTGCAATATCCAAATCACTATGATCAGCCTTTAATGCCACAATCACAGCATGCCTTTTCATTCCATTTGTTATAAGGTTTGCCATTCTTGATTTCTGAAAAATAAAAGCATTAGAAGTTAGTGGGAAGCAGTATTAATCTTAAATCTGTATGTCCTCAAATACCAGCCACATCCTGTAATTGTACCATTATCATTGATACTGTCATTATAATATATTTGGTATCATATGCATCATTGTACAATTTCAATACTTCTATTATATGTTGTATGTTTACTATTCTTAAAGAGAAAATAGGTGCCTCAGTATGGTGTAATGTGATGCTCCATATAAAATTTGACATTAAATGATGCCACAAGAAGTTACTTGTAAAATCAATCAAGGAACAATCAAGACTCAAAAATGACTTAATGAATTTTTTTTTTTTTTTTTTTTTTTTTTTTTTTACCATAAATTTGAAAATTTCAAATTTACTCACTTTAAGAAAAATGTTTATAAATATATTTTAGAGGAGACTATATCTGTCTTGTTTGCTATTAAAAAATGTTTCATTGAAAAAAAAAGAAATGAGTTATAAATTTTTTTTTCTGATTTCTTATTCAATGCAAAAAGAACATTTTTCAAAAATAACACTTTGTTCTATGACATGTAGATATTAACCTTACAGAGAATCCTTCATGGAAACTTTACTCAGCATCAAGTGAAAAACAGTCATAATTGTGTATATATAAACTTTACATGCTTTTTTTTTTTTTTTTTTTTTTTTAAGAACATTTTTCATTGATTAGAAAGGAATATGAATTTCTGTCATTGTATTTTAAAAATGTAATATTTAATTTTTAAATATTTTAACCACTCAGTAAAACATTTGCTAATAAGTGTAAAATATTTGTTCTATACTCTATTCTCAGTGTGGCCAGAAACTAGATGTTTATCATTGGCAAGATGGTGGAAACAGCAGTAAACCAATGTGTACAATGAAAGCTCACTCAAGAGTGGTCAGGTAAGAATATTTATTATCAATTCATTACCTTTTGAATTCTCAGTTTAAAAGTAAATTTAAAAAGAGGCTTAACTGTTTGATCAATTTCTTTGAATAGTAAAAAATAAAAAGAATTTCTAAAAACGGCTTTACAAGTAGATGTTTGGAAAAGGTTTGTTCTTATATGAATATTTGAATTTAAAAAAAAAAAAATTAGCCAAATCAGTTGAAATCATAAATTTAAAAGTAAATTGAGCAATTGTGATGCAACCATTATTGTTTTTAACCTATAACCAAGCTACCAACCTTTCTGAAAAAAATTATTTTTCAGTGATTTGGATTGGTCACCATTTGATGTTAACATCATTGCTTCCTGCTCTGTGGATTCTTATACTTATCTCTGGGATGTACGGTGAGTAATTATTACTGACTGGATATAAAAAAATCCAGCATACTTGAGACTTAATACTGAATTCATTTTACTTCAGCATTTTCATACTGCTTCATAACATTTATAATCATTTTCCACATGATATTCATTTATTGATCATTCAAGAAATTAGCTTATTAGTAAATAGTGCATAATCACAGATTTTGCTTTAAATTTACAGTTAATGGACAATTACCAATGAAAAATTGTAACCATTTGGCCAACATATGGATTAAAAGTTCAGGCTTTTTTCATAAAATTTAAAAAAATAAAAAACAAATTAGAAAATAGTTTCTTGCACTTAACCTGATATTTAATTTAGACAAATGTAAAACAATGAAGGTTTGGCTTAATGTAAATCTTGATAGTATGAAAGAATTTACATTCAGAATTTTCTTATTTTGGAAGAAGAACCAATAAAAATCCCTGTTAACAGTTTAAATTTCAACAAAACAAGTTTTTCTTTATTAAAGTATTGAAATAGAATATGAATTTTTATTAGACATCCATGAAACAAGTTTACATGTGTTTACTTGCTCCAATCGGATTCAATTTGAAATGTTTTAATATACTTACTGTGCACATGGCAAATAAGGGTTATCAAACTATTCGTTCATTATGAGGTGAAAGTTTATTCATTGACACCCAAATACTAAAAAGATTTTCACTTCACATATGTGTTGTAATAGAAATTAGGATTTATGATTTAAAAAAAAAAAGTCCAATTAAATTTGTATCAATATCTGTCTATATTTCTGAAATGAGGTATTGTAATCATTTACATTGTTTGTCCTCATTATTGTCATGGAAACATGACAATAAAGATAAGGATAACAGTCCAAACAATGTAAATAAATTTGTATCAGTAAAATGTAGAAAGTGCATTGAAAACTTGTTCTCCTTTACTATGTATAATCTGGCTAAAGTCTATCAGTTTGAACATGAAAAGTCAAGATAAAGAGAATGAAGTATCTTTTCCTTTAAATCTCATCAGAACAATACATTTTTCAACTTTTCAATTTTAAGTTCAATATTTTTATCTAAATGTAAAAAGGTTGCATGAAACTTTAAGTTCAGTATATTTTCAATTTTCATTTAAAAATATCAAGTGGTTTTAATAAAATGCCTTCAGTCAATTTGTAAAATTTCAAGAAAAACGATTAGGCAGCTCTGAGCTTTTTAATGTTATGGAGTTGCACATTGACATTGGAAAATGCAATTTTTACAATAGATATTTATTTATATCAATTCAAAATAGAATTTTAACTAATTTTTATTTTCAGCATTAATTATTAATTCTTAATAAAGACAACCTTCTGTAAAATTTTTCTGATTTGATTTTATTAAAATATTCTTTTGATTTTTTTTTTTTTTTTTTTTTTAAATAGAGAACCAAGAAAACCTTCTGGCTCTTTTCAAACAGTTGGTGAGTAGCTTTTCTAGACTTTCATTTATAATCTATGTTCTTATTATATGGTTGAGTGGTTAGAACTTTCTGACCATGAGACCCAGATTTGAATCTCACTATGGTTAATTTAGCAGGGAGGTGACTTAATGTTATTGTCCTGAGAAGAAATTGGAAATGGTCTGAAAGCCATAGCCTTGTGTGTGAAATTGAGTAGATAGAACTTTTCACGAGCTGTCTATGGTTTTGTTAGTACAAAATTGTTAGAATTTTAGCTGGTTAGTCTAAAAGGACAATTCTGAATTCAAAACTGGAGAGAGCAGTGGGGACCCACTCCAATAACTTTCCCAAAATATCAGTGACATTAAAAAAAAGATCTGGATGGACATAGCATTAAGACTGTGAGTTATGTTTAATCTTGAACTAAAGATTAAATCGTAGATTTATAGTTCAGTGTCTTAACCCTACATAAAATTTAACTTTTCTTCATGTATTGGATATGTTTATCTAAAATGATTGTCACTTAATTATATAATTAACACATGTAATAGCTAACAGTAATGTTACATTTGGATTGTCTATTTTCTGTTCTATGCTTACACTAGTTTAGTTTCCAACTCTACTTATAAGATTAAAAAGGAGAGATTTGTAATTATTTTGTACTTTTATTTCTCATTGTCAGTAGCCGCCAACAACACAGAATGGTAATGTTATTCTTGATTAAAATACAATCTTACTTTATCTCTCTACAAGTAATGGTTAAATCTTCATTTTTAATAAACATTGTGTGATTCCATTATCATTACAGTATTATTGAAACCATCTAGCCATTCTGACATCATTGAAGACTTCAATTATTACTATATAATATTTTTAATACAGCATACTTATCTTATCAGCGTAGTAATATAGTAAATGTTTTACTGAGTGGTTAAAGATAAGATAATTATTTTTAATACAGCATCCTCATTATCTTATCAGTGTGCTAAACTAAAAAGTGTTTCTAAATGTGTCCATAAACTTTTATCTGTATAAGCAATTTTAATTCTCATTTTCCTCTTAATTTATTAACTATTTCAATGATAATTTCAGTGTATTTTGGTAATAAATTTTTTCCCATTTATGTGTGAGCAATCTTATTACTATTAAAAATTACATTTAATTATAATAGTTTTAAGTTTTCTTAGATAAAGCCTTATTATTTATTTTTTATTTTATTTTTTTGGTGTGTATGTGATCTGTGTGGGGTGAAGAAATTTGAGTTCTGTTATGTTTGATAGGCAGGGTGTTAGTTGTTTAGCAATAGCCAAGTAAACAGGAAAAGTCTAATGTTGAGCAAATAAAGAATTCTTATGAACAGCTTTCATGGATTAATTAATGGCCTATAAACAGTTCATAATATGAAATTTACTTGATGCATCTGAATGTATACCTCTTGAGTTGTGGAAGCTTGTGGTACTAGTTGGAGAGTACCCAGGGAACTAATTTTGGCAAGACCAATTAGAATTAAAACTTTCTATCACCAATCAATATAATAATGTCACCTGCTACAGTTGCCTTGGTCCCAATCACTTTGCTTACAACATAACGATCACATATGAGTAGCACACAAAGAAGTGTGGTGGGTCATATTTCTCACAGGACCAAGGAAGCAAGACAGGGGAAAAGGCATTGGCACCTATTTCATCTCAAGCAAGATATGAAGCATTATTCATAGTTAAAGTGAATGTTCATGTAATCAAGAGCATGGTCTTGGTAGACACTGGTGATTCTCTATCACTGATGAGCAAATCAGTTTCCCACTTTTTGGAAAAAGTGGAAGTAAATGTACTGTCTGTCAATGGAAATACTCTTAAGTGCCTTGAAGTCAGGTATGTTAAACTTGGAAGCTACATGAATGCCATTGATCTTGAAGTCTTAATTGTGGATTTAAAATTATTGGGTTCAGCCTTCTGCTTCAGACATCATTAAAGAATCTGGATAACTGAATCTGGCAATGTATACTTTACTGAAGATGATGGTAAGAGAATAACCAGTTTTACCATTATGGATATAAGTCTTGAAGCCAAAGCAGCAACAAAATATTAGTACAACAGGAGTAAATGTGTCCTGTACAATAAGCAGTATACTCAAACATGTGTGCAGTAGTTACTGGCCAAGAAAAGCACCTTTGTTCAAAAGTTATCATTACAAGAATTGAAATTTACACATGTCTATTTGGAAAAAGACAGTTAATTTTGTTACTTGGTTTTATGAAATGAGATTAGAATTGAATTTTGTTGGAATTAGACACTGAGAATGGGACAAAAGAAGAGAAAATATAAACCCTGAAAACACAATCTCAAGTGTAAAATATGGAGGTGACAATCTTAGGCTTTGGGGATGTTTTTATAGAAATAGAATGGTCTGTTTGTTGAAGATCATCATGAAAAAATATGATATTTTAAAGAAAGTCTGAAAGATTTTGCCAGCTACCTTTTTTGGAAGATGACAATTTGTGTTCCATCATGATAATGATCCCAAAACTAGTGTACTAGTGTAAAAATAAAAAAAAAAATGGTTCAAAGACAAGATTAACATTTTACCTTGACCTGCAGTGTCTGACCTGAATTCAATAGAGAATTTGTAGCAAGAACTTCAAATTAGAGTGCATTCAAAACAATTTTTAAATTTGAGTACAGCAGTTTACTTTTGAAGAATGAAACAATATACCAAAATAAATTTGTAGTAGATTAGTTACTAATGGTAGAAGACATTTGCTTAAAATTGACCAGAAAGGCTATGCCATTGACTATTGACTAAAGAGTATGTAGTGAAGGAGATAATCATTTACCCCGAAAAAAGTTTGTGTTCTGTGTGCGATCTGCCGATGAAAAATTACAAAAAGTAGTTAGCAAAAATCTACTTCAATGACTATAATCTATGAATGGTGTGACCAATGAGAAAAATCTCTCGATGAATCAAAGCCGTTGTTTTTCACTTATAAAGGCAGAAGATTTTCTGAGCTGCTGGCGGAACATGGGTTTTTTTTTGTTCGTGAGACATGAAGGTTGGGCATGTGACCCCATTTTGTCGTTTCTACTTTATTTGTTGGACTGTTACGACGGGCTATCGTTTGAACTGCGATTTGGCTACAAGTGTTGCGGTCGAGAAACAGAAGAAATCTATTGCAGTTGCTACTATAAGTTGACAGTCTTTTCTTTTCTTTACTACAACAGAATATAAATAATTTTGTTCCTGTTATGTCCATAATGTTGTTACTGTATCACATGTAAAGTTTCTGCAATGGATTCTGAGTATTTTTCATGATAATGTTCTATCTTTTATATCAGTATTTGAAAAATGAAATTGAACTGTTTCAGTCATTCTTGCCTCTTTTTTTTCTATTCCAATGTATCTCCAGATTTTAGGTACATGAAAAGATACTTAGGTTTTATAATTATCTAAGTTTATTGTTTGTTCCTCAGATTATCTTATACAAATTATATATCTGTGTTGCTGAATGTGTGTCAGGTCATACATCAGAATTTGTTAAATATAATTATTTCAATTTATTTTTTGTTTAATCACCTGGTTCATCATGAAACAAAAAGCAGTTATTACACAGAAAAAAGCTATGAATTTCACTAATTTTCAAACTGAATATTCTACACTGATTCTTTGTGCCGTGGCCCTTCAGGACATGGGCGATTATGGTTCTCCACAATTTGTAGCTCTTAGCAATGTTTGTCTTTTTACTATCCCTCTCTGTCACTGTTCTACTAGCTATTTACACAAGCTTATTAGGTAGGTTACTATTTCCCTCTGTCACTGCTTGTTCTTTAAATGTCAAATTTTCTGTCTTTGTACATTTTATCCTAGAAATTTCAACTTGTTCCGATTCTAAGTATAAGCATCCTTTTTGTTTCTATTTTCCTTAAAACTTCCTCATTATTCACATACTCCATCCATGGTATTTTCAACATCCTTCTGTAGAACATCTCTGTCGCCTCAAGTCTCCTCTTCATCTGTGAAGAAATTGTTCAGCATTCACTGCTATATAGGAAGACAGATATTGCATAGCAGTCAAGCAGATTTTTTTGTTTCTAATGAAATTTTCTGTTTCTTAATACTTTGCTTAGCTTTTGGAAGGCATATTTTCTATTCCAATATATCTCCAGATTTTAGTGTCACATTTTCTGTCTTCTGTTAAAACATTTCCCCAACATTTAAATTTTCATACCTGCTTGATTTTGACATCCTGGGCTGTTCTTGCTGACAACTTTACATTCTGTCTTACAATTGATACTTTGTCTTTTCTTCCCATTTTCCTTTACTACTTTTGGAGTTCCTGAGGTTTCTTTTTCTGTGTCTGCCATCAACACTGTGTCATCTGTATATTTTATGTTATTAAGCTTGTGTATTTGTAAGAATTGTACTTCTTTTAGGATGAACTTTTTGTAAAAGTTGAATAAATCCAGTGAGAAGACACGTCCTTGTCTTATGCCCCTCTCTATTTTTGTGTACTTAGTCAATTCATTTTCTATCAATATGCAGGCTGTTTGCTCCCAAAGTCTAAGTTCTGGATTATTCTAACATCTTTCTCAAATAAATCAAATTTTCTTAGCAGTTCAAATAGTCCTACTTATCAAATGTGTTTGTATAGTCTATGAAGCATGGGTATATGTCCTTCTGCATTTGTATTAATTTTTCTGATATCATCCTGATAATAAATATTGCATTTCTTGTTCCAGTGTTTTTCATAAAGCAACACTATTATTGCCTCCTTTTCCAGTCTAATTCTGCTACACACTCTATTCATCAGAATTTAGAACAGCTTAGTTATGTGATTGTCAAATAAAACATTCATTTGCACCTGGCTCCTTTGGCAGTGCTACAAAAATGGATCTACTAAAATCTAGTATATTGCCACTGTCATAAAGGATCATTAACAGAAAGGTGAAGCAGAATTATTTAACAAAATATTTCAACTTCTAATTGAATTTCCCTGACTATTTTGTGTGTCTCTATTACTTTTGTAGCTGGGGCTTCCCAAGTTCAGTGGAACAAAGTAACAAACAATACATTTGCTACAACACATGAAGGAGATGTGAGAATCTGGGATCCTAGGGTAAGTTCAAAAACAGCATTTATTGAAGGAGTCTATTGATCTGTGTTTTATACCACAACAATCCCCCAAATTCTCAGGTAATTAATTTTGAGAAGATTGGATTTATTTTCATGAGGCGAATGAAGAAAACAGTAACCAGTAAATTCAAGCTCTCCCAGCTGGTATTTCAAACTTGAGTCGTTCCTTCTTGAGTTCTGTCTCCAAATCACACTAACTGCCCGTTCTAGCCGTCAACCGTGAACGTCCCTCAAGAACTCCCGACTTGGAAAAAAAGTAGTTGTTTTTATAGTTGTTCATGTACCCATAATCCCTTGCGTCTTCATGTGATCCCATAATTCATTGTGTCCATGTCCCATAATGCATTGCATCGTTATTGCATATTGGAAAAAATGCGGTGCCAGTCCCCCTCATTCTTTTTTACATTATCTGGCCGAGGATGGATTACGGCAGAGCGGTAAGTGCTTTTTTTTCTCCCTCATTTCAACTGCAGTAGCTTTACATGCTAAGCAAATACGGGCTCTTTTTTGGCGGGGACAAAGCAAGTTGCGACCAGTTGTGCTCGTCCCAGGTTCTGTCTCATGTCCGCCACACTCCCCCTGATCTCCTGATCACACAGATGACAGTGAGGATACGGTCTTTTTGTTCCGGTGCTCCTCCGAAGGGGGATTGGTTGAACTTCTTCATCAGAGGAGCTCTCATTAGACACGTCCCGATCTATTCGCAAACTACCGCCTATCGGAGTGATTGGTTGTTGAATCCAACTCTATGTATATTGGCTGTTCACTATCCTCTATGTCTTCGTCAGTTGTGGGATTTGAGCCCAAAAAGGGCGCAGGTCTCTAACATGACGAGTATGTTCCATTGACCCTCACTGACTGCTGACTCACCACCTCGGTCACACGTCCGGTTCCAAATTTGGTCGTGCATTTACCACGTGGAGTCTTAACCCAGACAATGTCCCTTTCTTGTATTCCCCTTCGGTTATTTGTGATTCAGGCGGGGCGTCGGCGTCGATGCCTCTCACCCGGATGTGGTATGTGTGCAGTACATCAGCCGGTGCCGTGGAAGGTGAAATGTTGTCCTTAGGTGTGACGTTATGCCAGTAAACCGCTTCCAAGACTGAACAATTTTTCCTGGCCGCTATGGTTTTGATGCTTCTGTGGTTGTGTTCCACAATGCCATTTCCAGACGGCACGTAAGCGCACCGAACCTCAAATGCACGCCCCAGCTGTTTACAAATTCCCTAAATTGTCTGCAAGTGAACGTGGTGTCATTGTCAGTCAGTATTTCAGCCGGGCGGGCCTCGTTCAGAGAAGACTGTCTCTAGCTGACGAATGACACCAGCAGAGTCTTGCCGTCTCAGTGGCCGCCATACTGCAAAACGGGAGGGACCACAGTCAATGAGCGTAAGAAAATGGCTACCATTGCAATGGGTTACGCCCATTGCTAACCTGCTCCAGTTTTTTCTCATACTCAAATTTCCTTTCTTCCAATGCACTGGTGCTGGATCGATCGATTGGCAGGCTTCACAGGTTCTAACGACAGATTTTACCAGTTCCTTAGACACCGTTGGATCTACAGTCCTAGCAAAGTACATTGTTCTTTTAACACCTGGGTGCCCACTCTGCTGGTGGATGTGGGTCACCTGACGTTTGCTCAACTGGCTCGTTGCAGTGACACAACTTCGCTTGCACCGGTTCTCCTCCTTTCTTGTGCATCTCCAACCAGCGTTGCGGCACTCTGGTGAGGCTGTCAGCAGCGGTTCTGACAAGATTTCACCAACGTCACAGTCATAGTCAGTGCGTGCTCCTCCACCAAAGCTCGCAGTGTCTCTAAGAGCCGCCTCATCAGCATTTCACCCGCTGCCTTCGTGTTCACGCGCGTTTTTCCTGTCAGGGTGTCAGACACCCACCGATGCACACATGCTGAATTGGTGACCACATGCATAACTGGTGCCTGCCACTGCAGGGCAAGATTCACGCCCTTGATCACCGCATCAAGCTCAGCAAGATTAATGTGTTTGGCATCATTGGTTGGACGCAACCAGCAAGCATCTTCCATGATGCTCCCATTCACCTCTAGTGCTACTCCCGTGGCCACGGAGCTTGCATCCACCCAAACTGTCATTTCATTGCCGTTCACACACCAGTCTCCACCGACAGGATCTGATTCCCGCACTCTGGCCACTGTTTCCTCCAGCATACGTCCAAGAGGGGCATCCTTTATCTCGTCCGTCCCATCCTTTGGTTAGTGTACTTGCATAACGCTTAATAAATGCAGTTGCCACCCTAAGCCAACCGCACACACAGGAAATGACCCTGAAGTTTCCCAAAGACAAGGAAAAACGCAATTGCGGGTCACTTTTCGAGCAATTTGTATTGAACCTGACCTCTATTTTTCCATCGAAGGGAGTTGCTTTCTTCCCAGACTTGCAGATCCAGGACCTTAGTTCCGTCTCTCAATCGCTCCGGATCTTTACAGACTAGCCCGTAATCTGCAAAGTGCTGTCTGAGTTTTGGCGCTGCAGAAACTAGGCCTTCATTTATGAAGATATCGTCGACGATATGCCGACGTGGCACTCTTAATGTCCTGATCCTGGGACGTTATCATGTCGATCACTGACTTCATGACAAGTGGTGCCACATTCGGGCCAAAAGCCAAACGTAAGGCAAAACCGCTTGCCCTTAATGACCACTGTTTGAAATGGCCATAGCGATTTGTCAATGTGAATCTGTAGGTACGCATTTCTCAAATCCAACAACGATAAGTCAGCTCCTTGTCGTCGCCATTCTCGTAATTTCTGCGCACACACCTGCGTCAGCCGTGAATGCGACTACAAAACCGTTCTACTCCCGATAGTCAAGTACCGGTCGGACCTTCTGTTTGTGTTCTTGTACGACCGCCATTAAGGGAATTAATCCCTTGGGTGGGCCAAGCTCTTTCTCAGGATATGGCAGTAGCCATCCGTCTCGCTGCCACCATGCTAGTTCTTCATCGTATGCATCCCGGACGTGGCCAGGTACTGTGTACTCCTGTACTTTATTGACCAACTTGCCAGGTGAATAACCACTCGCCCACTTCCACAATGCAGTCCACGTTTTCGTGCTCTGGTTAAACGTCACTCTAAAGTCAGGCTTGTTGATAACAATGGCGGCACATGTGTTCAGGTTTCCGAAACGAGCTTCACCTGATTCGGTCAAGTAAACACCTCCGAGCACTTTGATTGCATCAATCCTGAGAAGAAGATCGAATCCTAGCAACTGCCCTTCCACGACCAGAACCTCAACAGTCACGGGCTGAATCTGCTCGACGCCCAACTTAATTTTACCATATCCACGGCACTTCAGGGTCTTCCCGTCGGCAGTCAACACTCCCACCTCTTCCTCCTTCCAGCAGCGACACAGTCTTGCTCACCAGCGTCTGTGAGCATCCCGAATCCACTAGAGCTGTGCACTCTACTCCATCTACAAATACTTGTACGGTGGGTAACTTCCGGTTTTTACTTGCTCGGGAGAAGGCTGGCGCTGACGCCTTCTCCCCTTGGGTGTTTCCCTGGCATTCTGAGGAAATGTGTCCAATGCCGTTGCATCGAAAACACCGCATGTCGCGAGCAGACCTCTGTGTTCTGTTTGACCTCTCCTGACGTCCTTGTGTACAGTTCTTCGCCATATGGTTGGGTCCAGAGCACTTATAGCAGGTAATCGTTCTGCTAACAGGTTTGGCAGGGGGAACCTCAGCTTCTGAGCGTGTTAGCTCTACGGATGCGGCGGCCTATACCTGGCACCCTTCATCATCCGTCATAATAGCCCTTGCTCAGGTCAGAATCTGTTCTAGATCCATGTCGTCCATCCTGGAAGAAGCTTTGAGAAGCTGCCTAACATGATGTGGCAGTCCTGACACAAATGCACATGCCATCCACCGATCAGGTAGCGGTTCTCCTACTAGCCGTGCCAAACGATGCATTTCAGCCAGGAATTCATCCACAGTTTCCCCTGGGCAAAGACGCTGTCCCATAAATTGGTTTAACGCATTAAATCTGTCAGTCAAAATGCAGTCATAAGGGCCCGTTTAATTTGTTCCGCGTCTGCCCTCTGCTCTCCACTGAGTTGTCTATACACAGCAAGGGCACCGCCTCAAGTCAAAAAGGCAAGATACTCGATCTTGTCCATGGCACAAAGTTCGCAGACCAATTCCACATTTTCTATCCATTCAACAATGGGCATATCCGGGGCGCCGCTGAATTCTGGAATCAAATGGACGTCAAAGACCTTGCCTTCCATTTTGAAGAATCAATATGCCGAAATAGCTTGAGGCGAATGAAGAAAACAGTAACCAGTGAGTAAATTCAAGCTCTCCCAGCTGGTATTTCAAACTTGAGTCGTTCCTTCTTGAGTTCTGTCTCCAAATCACACTAACTGCCCGTTCTAGCTGTCAACCGTGAACGTCCCTCGAAGAACTCCCCGATTCGGAAAAAAGTAGTTGTTTTTATAGTTGTTCATGTACCCATAATCCCTTGCGTCTTCATGTGATCACATAATTCATTGTGTCCATGAAAATATGCATAAAAATGCGGTGCCAGCCCCCCCCCCTCATTCTTTTACATTGTCTGGCCGAGGATGGATTATGGCAGAGCAGTAAGTGCTTTTTTCTCTCCCTCATTTCAACTGCAGTAGCTTTACATGCTAAGCAAATACGGGCTCTTTTTTGGTGGGGACAAGGCAAGTCGCGACCAGTTGTGCTCGTCACAGGTTCTGTCTCATGCCCGCCACAGGACATCTTTAATAGCATCCAATATATAACTTGAACAAAAAGAAAAAAATTTATAAAAGATTGTTGCTTATCTATATTCAAATATATACACAGACCTATTTACATTCATGTGTTTGTTATTTATGCTAACTTGGACTACTTGCTACTATTGAGAATGCAAAGTGTTTAAGAAATGTGGCTAATGTTGATATTGTCTTATGAGAAAAATTGATTTCTTACATTGTACAAGGTTGAATTAGTATTTGATTCAAGTTAGAATAATCCAATAAAAGAGGAGTTACAATAATTATTTAAATAAACCACTTATGGCATGTTGAATACAAATATTTTAGAATAAGCCAATATTGTCATTGAAATTATTTGCAGTATTATCTTACTTCTTTATTCTTCTATTTGTAAAATGTATAAATCATTTACAAAGAAACTACTATTCAGAGATTCCAAGATTTTCAAAAAATAGATATTAATAATTAAATGTGAACACTAAGAAGTATTAATATTTTGTTAGGAAATTTATTTTGTTTATCAAGATCAAACTAGTTTTTATCCAATATAAAATTCAAGTGTCATTGAAATATAGTCTTCTGTACAAATTTGCTTGTTACTGTTAATCCCAAACTGTTCTTTCCTTACAGAAAGGAAACTTGGCTGTTCATTACATTGCTGCCCATCCGTCCAAGATCTATGGCCTGGATTGGAGTCCATTTTCAGAATATAATCTGGCCACCTCTAGTCAAGACCATACAGTGAAGGTAAAATTATTGACATCTGAAATATCATGTAATCGCATAAATTTTTTTTATTCAATTTAACTTTTCTCCTGGTTTTATGAACTGCTCATATGAAAAAAAAATATATTGCTAATTTTTTTTGTTAAGTCTTTAGCTTACAGTTAGTCTTCAAATGCCATCATTGAAAGAAAATATGTAAGATTTGTTATTTAAGTTATTTGTCACATAAATTTCTTATCATATTCCTGCAAATTTGAGGTGTAATTCTGAAAGTTTTCTATTAGAGGGTCACAGCAATAAGTGTGAAAGATGAAGGCAGAACTCTTGTATAACTTTTTCATTATATTTCTAACTTAACCTAGCACTTTAATTTGTAAGATTAATACAAAAAATTCTCAGTAAACCTTTGCAAAATTTTGTACAAACGTTATTTGTTTTACGGTCATTAAATGATTTTTAATTGATTTGTTGATGACAAAAGTTTGCATTGTTCAGTTTTTGTTTTACATTTGTAGAGTATTGATGCATATTTTTTAAAATATTTGGTGTCATCAGATTGTAATAATGTTTACAATATATGATTAGTAAATATAGTTTTACTTAACAATATATTCTAAGTTATCTCAATGAAAATGAATTTAAAAACTTTATATATTATACAATTTAAAATTGTAAAAAAATGAAAAATCTTGTAAAAATTCATTTTTCATTGAAAATCTTTTTTCTTCAGACAATATTGTCTTTAATATATATTATTTCTAATTAAATAATGTCTTAGTTTTATTGCATTTTTTATTTTTTGATTCAGAACAGATTTTCAGTAAAAGAGGGTCCACTTTTGCAAAAAAATTGATTTATATTCTTCAAAGAATTCTGCTTTTAACTAATATTATTACTAAAAATTATGACGTTGAATTTCTCAAGTTTTCATAAAACTAAGGGGGTGAAACACGTAAAAAAAATAATTTTACCAAGATTTTCTAATAAAACAAAATTTCAAAAATAATTTAATTCATTTATGAATGTCCTGAAAATTTCATTAAAATCGGACAATTATTTAATTTTTGTAAGAATTTCCAAATTAATGTCTGTCGCTGCAAAATAGAGGCTAAAATTTGCTGTGCTAAAAGTTAGTACATCCACTGACATATGAAAAACAAATTTTTTAATCAAAATTTTGAATGTTTTAAAAAGGAATAAAAAAATTTAATTAAATAATCAAAAAATACTTTCGTCCCTTCTCTTAATAACAAAGATTTTGACTATAAAACTATGTTTTTATTACATTTGGAGCATATTTGATTTATGCTGATTTTTTTATTACATTTTTAATTTACATTTGGAGCATGTCTGATTTTATGCGGATTTTTTTTTTTTTTTTTAAGTGATTTCGTGGAGGTACCTACTTTATATTTTGTAAATTTTACATTTGGTATTAAGGTCAATTTTCTTATTTTTACTTTTAATTTTAAAAATATTTCAGTGTAGAGTTTTGTGTATATACAAATATATATTAAAATTATTCTCCTATTTCAGTTATTACCATTTTTGTGCTTGATGTGTATGTCTATTTATGTATGGAATTTTTATGGTATGTTTAATTTTTATTTAGCTCCTGTTTTACTTATTTTAGTTTTGGGATGTGACAAGTTTAAAGCGTCAAGAAGAGATATTATTCTCTGGATCTCCTGTTTGGAAAGCTCGATATACTGTAAGTAATATTCTTTTCAAGTAAGTTAAGAATAGTTGAGATTTTATATATATATATATATATATATATATATATATTTATTTCAAACAGACTGATGTTACAACTTACACATATAAAAGGCAGTTTTCTGTGTGTGTGTGTACAGCTAAAATTAAAAAAAAAAAACTACAATAATTCATGACAAAACAATTATATATATATATATATATATATATATATATATATATATATACATACACACAGAGACTCGGTATCACCCAACCCACCTTTTTTAAAAAAATTCTCATATGATTTGTATTTGTGAAGATATTTTAAAATTAAAAATGTGTAATATTTGCATCAGAATGTATTTGAAATTCTCAGAATAAAAAAGTAAAAACGAATGGGAATAATTATTATTATACCCATTCATTTTTACTTTTTAATTCGGCTGATAATTTTGAAATGCTGTATGTATTTTTAAAATTTCTATTCTCTTGAATTTATTTCCATATCTATAGTAAATAAAAGTGTAGCTTTAAAAAAATGAATATTAAAACAACAAAGTAAATTTAAAAGAAGAATAATATTATTTGAAAAAAAAGCTTAATATTTACTTATTCAAATATTCAAAACAAAAATTATAAAAACACAACCGAAAAATACCCGTAGATATTTAGGGGGGAATTTTTATTGACTTTAATTAATACAATCAGATATTCCACAAACGTACAAGTCATCTTTTTTGATATTTTTAATCAGGAAATTTTTAATTACGGGTTTACTTTAAATACATGCATTTTGTTTTTATCCTTGTTGTAGGGATGGTAAGTAGATATTTTATTCATTATGTTTACAGTTTTCATGTTTACATATTTTATTTTTACAATATGCTAATAATATATTCTGGGTGAAGCTTAAGCAGAGGGAAATATTAAAATCATGTAATTTATAATACTGGTGTTAATTTGATGCACAATGTATATTTATTTTATTAAATAGTGGAATGTCCATCTCTAATAATTTTCTGATTTAAAAAAATATTAAGATATGTCCATTATTCAATTCTGGCATGCCACCTTAAAATCTCATTCTGAAAAAGCAATATTCTGTCAGATTTTGTTGAATAATTTTTTTATTAAAAAAAACTTATTTAAATTAATTTCCTAAAAATATTTGTGTTTTGGAAAAATTTTATATCAGATTTAATTTTTTTAAAAACCTTTCCTGTTGAATTGTTTGTATGGGATCAGTTTGCTACATCTCTTTTTCCATTTTATTGAAATTAATATTTTTTAAAAGTTTAGATATTAATCATTTTAAACATGCTGGGGTGGGGGATAATTTTACTGAACTATTTAATTTAATTTTCTAAAAATTATTATGCTTGCTTTCAAAAATATTCTGTTTGTTGAATTACTTTTTTATTAATAAAAATTTTACTAAATTTAAATTTTCAAAAAATATTTATACTTTTATATATAATTTTTTTCTATTGTAGACAGGACATGAGACAGTTTACAACTTTATATATATATATATATATATATATATATATATATATAATATTAGTGGAAAATATACATACATATGCAAAATATATAAATACCCATACATGTATATTTTTTAGAAAAAAAAAATTCCAAGAGGAAGAATCCAGGTAGAACTCAATGTCTAAGACAGAGTAAGGATATAATAAAAAAAATAAAATGTGTATGTATATACATGTATATGTTATTGTGTATATTCGCATGTGTTTTTGAACATAGAAATATAGGTCCTTGCTGGATTAGATAATCGTTATATTTATCTTCAGATATTTATATTTGATTTGTAACCTGTAGTCGATATTAAATTTGTCAAATTTTCTCAATTACAAAGTGGCCCTTTAAGTAGATGCAATTTTACTTTCCTTCGTCCCATTTCTCTCCCCCACCTCGTCTTTCCCTCCCTCCCTCTTATTCTAACATTAGATTGTCTATGGTGTGTGTATGTCACCACGAAATGTATCTTTATGCATTAGACATCTGTCAACATTCATTTTTTTTTTTTTTTTTCTCTCTTAATTAAACCCCTTCCACCCATCTCTCCTAAAATTCTCTCTGTTATGGTTTAATCTCCCTCCTCCTCATACTTACACTCTCTCTAAATTCTGTTTTTTTTTCCGGAGTTGGTTTTTTTCTGTTTTCTTTTTGAATTTGTAGGTCTGATGAATTGGATCGTATTTATGATTCCAATGGAATAAGTTATGACCATGGAATATTAGTGTTTAAGCCTTTTTATTATTATATATATATATATATATATATATATATATATATTTATATATAATAAATATTGGAATATCCATCCTATAATTATTACTGTTTAAAAAAAAAAAAAAAAGTTTTATATATAATTCCCTCCAACCATCTCGTATAACACTTCACAATCTTATTTGGAAAAAAGAAAGACCTCCAGTCATATTCCTGAGCCTTTGATTGATTATCAAGACAATGAATCATCATGTTATCGAATTTCAACATAGCAATGAAACCTAAGATGAAATTATTTCTTCCGAGTAATGCCAAGTATCCTTGCTTGCTTGTGTGTGTGTGTATATATATATATATATATATATATATATATATATATATATATATATATATAGAGAGAGAGAGAGATGGGTGGTTAAACTGAAAAAAACGACTTCTTTCAGTTTCATTTTCACACCATGAAATTGCATTAAAATTTTTACAAAACCAAAATTATTCATTTTTTTTTTTTTTTTTTTTTAAGTGCAATCACTACTGAGTGGCCATACCCAAAGAAACACTGTTGAAAAAGAATTTCAGATGTTAATAAAATAAAATTTTATCAACATTTATACCATTATAAGAGAAAAAGTTTGAACAAAAATGTCAAAAGCATTTAATTGGCTAGTTTTAGGAAATAAATGTCAAATCTATTTATTTACAAAAGAAACGAAGAAGAAAAAAAAGGAAATATTACATGATGTCTGAAATTTATTTGTTTCAATTTTCAAAAGAAAACTTTTTGTGGTAAAATTAAGTTAACAAAATAGCGAGTAAAAATAAAAAATAGTTGCCAGTTTTGTCATAATGTTAAATTTTATGAAGTTGGATTTTTTGTGAGGGTTTTCTGAGCCAGTATGCTAATCACAAAATAAAGTTGTTGTAAACAAGAAAAATGAATATTTTTTTATAATTAAATTTGTTTTTTATCTCTAGAGAATGCATCTAAATTAGATATTAAAAATAATTAAAATAGTTCTTAATTCCACTTTTAATATGTGTATATTTCCAGATATGTGAGTCTCTAGTGTAAAAAATTGTTTTCTACAAATAAAATTATTTCTATCTAGCAAATGCACCTAAAATAAAATTAGATATTAAAAAAATAAAATAAGTTTTAATCTGTTTTAAAATGTGTATATTTTCAAAACTACAAGTCAAACCCAAAGTAAAAATTATTCTTTTTTACCCTCTAGTCAGTGTCAGACAGTACTTTCAATAATTTGAAAGTTCTTTTACCACACATTTATTTAAAAGTTGCTCCTCTTTTCTTCTTTTTTTTTTTTTTTTTTTTTTTTTTGCTTACTTTATAATTTTGAAGGAATTTGCTTCCACGGGTCAGAAGAAATGAATATCTTTCTGGCTGTAGTTTAAGGTGTCTTCTAATTGAGCGTACAATTTCAAGAATATTGATAAAGATTGGTCATGTTGATTTTTGTGAAACAAAGTAACGTAAAATTTAGTCTTGGAAAAAAATAAATAAATAAAAATCATTTCACATTTTTGGCTGAAGCAAAATACCGTTTTAACTCGCTGTAAAAAAAATAATTCAATGAATAAAAGCACATACAAATTACATATTTAGAAAGATTGTTTTATTTCCAGCCGTATGAATATTTTTAAGATTGGACCAGAAATACACAAGAAATTGCGAGTTAAACAGACTAAATTGCAAATTTATCAATCTCAAACGAATTCAGATATCAACTGGAAATGCTATCATTACACAAGAAAATGAATGGCTTCCTTAAGAAAGCAAAAATACTAAATTAAAAACTGAAAAACCAAATTGAAAACCGCGGTATCAAGGGAAAAAAATGAAAACTGATACCAAAACAAATTGCCAAACCGACCAACTCATATATATATATATATATATATATATATATATATATATATATATATATATAAGAAAGTTAGTTATCACCCATGTTAGTGTGAGGGAGATATATGATTTATATGAAATATTCTCACACTCACAATTAATTTTCCAAAGTAATAAACTAGTTTTAATGTAAAATGCACATTTAAGTGTATCATATTAATATAATTCATATTTAAGTTAAACATTTGATTGCAGCATAAAATAGCCATTATCAGAAAGTCCAATTGATGTCAGTTACAAAATGAAAATGTTAGAAAAAAGTATAAGTTGGTTTTTGCATGTAATTTTGTTTGTTTTCTGTTAAAATCTGTTGCATTAAGATGTATATTCAATTGCATAATAAAAACTGATTTAATATATCCTTAATGTGGATTATAACCAAAATCTTTTCAAACTTCAATGGCTTATCAGTCTAGTCAAAACACTATTTTAATAAAATCTTATTTCATTAAGATAGTTTTTTTTTTTTTTTTTTGTTTTGTTTTTCAAACTGATCACTTAATTTTCTTTTTATTTTCATGTAAGTCTTTTTGTGGCATCAAAGATATTTTGAAATGACTTTTTCCTTCCCTTGGATGCTTTTACAGCCATTCCAAACTGGTCTAGTGACAGTTGTCTTACCTCAGCTGACAAGAGAACCATACTTGAACCTCTGGAATATTTCCAACCTTAAACAACCTGTTCATACATTTGTTGGCCATGGAGATGTTGTATTAGATTTCCATTGGAGGAATAAAGCAGAAGGTTTGTATTGGATTTTCTTTTCTTTTTCTCTAATCATTTAAAAATAGGGTTTTATTTTTTGCTTTAGATATATAGTCCAATTATATTATTATTACAAAGGAATTCTTGTTTTCTTTTGGTTCTTTAGAGAGCACAGATTATCAACTTGTTACTTGGTCCAAAGATCAAAGTCTGAGAATCTGGAATATTGATCTCAACATGCAAAAGGTTTGTCAATTTTTAAACATTTTTTTCAACTTGAAATCTAATACCAAGCAAATTGTATCTTGATAAATGTTACTGTTATAGTATTTGGACTTTTTAAATAGTGTTGTCAATTTAAAATGGTATTTCTACTTCTCAGATGAAAGAAATGCTAGTCAAAAATTAAGAATAATGCTGCTGTTGTATTTGATTAGAATTGATTGATAATAAACAGTGATTTAAAAAAAAAAATTGTCCTACAGTGATTTGGTCAGGAAAGATTTAATGTGCCAGAAAATTGGTATGAATATGTGTGTTAAAGAAAAATTGTGTGGTAGGAAAAATAAATTTCCACTCGAATCTGTTCCTGCTGACAGCTAACATGGAAACCAAAACAATGCTTCGCAACAGTACTATCGCTCTTTCTCTGGAACATGGGTATAACCTTCACCAGTCTCAAAGAACAGAACTGCCCTCAAACAAAAAGTCAGCTCTTTTTATCCTTCCTTAGTCTCTGGCAAGAAACTGAGATCTCTCACTTGTGTTAGCCTCGTTCTCACTGATAACGCATGCGCTATGTCACTTTAGTATCGATTTGCTGGAGTTCGCCTTCATGTCTATGATGTCTACAAGCACATGTACAGACAATTCACCTTCTCTTGCTTCAGCAAGGTATGCCTCCACCACAGAATAGATAAGCAAATTTAACGTCTCCTTTATATCCCCCTCCAGTCATCTGTGGTTTAGGTGGAGGGTTCACTTCAATGCCTCTTACTCTGATGTGGTACTTACACGATGTGTCAGTTGGTGCCATGGAAGGCAAGATGTCATCTTTTGGCATGACGTTATACCAATAAACCGCCTCTAACATGGAACAGTTTTTTTCTGGCCATGATGGTCTTAATACTTCTGTGGTTGCACTCCACAATTTTATTTCCAGCTGGTGAATGTGCACACCGGAACCTCAAATGCACACCCCAGCTGCTTGCTAACTCCTTGAAGTGAAAGTAGTGTCGTTGTCAGTTAATATTTGTGGGCCTCATTCAAAAAAGGTCATCTCCATCTAGTGAATGACACTAGTTGCATCTTGCGGACACAATGGCTGCCACATTGCAAATCTGGAGGGACCACAATCAATAAGCATTAGAAAATGTCTGCAATTATAATGGGTTATATCCATTGCTAATCTGCTCCAGTTGTTTTCCACACCCAGTTTTCCTTTCTTCCAATGAACTGGTGCCAGATCTATTGAATGGCAGGCCTCATAGGCTTTACAACCGATCTTATGATTGCCTTAGACACCAGAGGGTTGATAGATCTAGCAAAATATAATTTCTGTTTCACACCCAGATATTCACTTTGGTGGTGGATGTCAGCCACCTGATTCTCATTCATTCGGATCCCCATTGCGGCGCAAATCTCCAGTACTGGTTCACCTCCCTCATTGTGTAGATCCAACCACCTTTGTGGTACTCTGTTGAGACAATCTGCACGGTTTTGACAGGATTTCACTAGTGTTACATCTGTGGTCAATCCATACTCTTCTGCTAACACCTGCAGTATTCCCAAATTCTATCTCATGAACATTTCACCATCTGCCTTTGTTTATGCACATGCCTTCCCTGTCAGAGTGTCAGATATCCACCAATGCATGCATGCATGCATGCTGAATCGGTGACCAAATGCAACACTCTGGCCTGCCATTGAAGGGCTAGAATGATGCCTTTGAGTGCTGCATCTAGTTCAGCCAGATTGATATGCCTGGCATTATTGGTCGGAGACAACCAACAAGCATCTTCAATGAGGCTTCCATTTGCTTCTAATGCCACTCCTGTGGCCAAAGAACTTGCATCCTCTTCATCTCGTTGCTATCTATACACCATTCCCCCTAACAGGGTCCATTTCATGTACTCTGGTCATAGTTTCCGCCAGCACACAACATAGATAGGCATCTCTGACTTTGTCATCCCAACTCTTGGTCAACGCGCTGGCTCGGCACTTGAATGCAGTTACCACCTTAAGCCAGCCACACATATGGAAATGACCAGGATAGAGAAAATATATACGTCGATGAGTCAACATGTACGTCGATGAGTCAACATGTTTGGAACTTGCGGGACATGGCCTCCTTACTTTCATCATTTCCCCAGATCTGCAGACCAAGGACCCTAGTTCCATTTCTCAACTGTTCTGGGTCTTTACAGACTAGGCTGTAATTTAAAAATGCTGTTGCACGCATTCTGCAGAAACCAGGCTCTCATTGATAAAAATGTTGTCAACATAGGCTAAACCCCAATTGGGTAAGACAGAACCGCTTGTCCTTGAAAATGACTGTTTGAAATAGCCATAGTGCCTTGTTTATGTGGATTTGCAGGTAAGCATTTCGTAAAGATATAAGCACGACACATCAACTCCTTGTTGCTGCCACTCTAAGCTGTTGTGCACACATTTTTGCATTGGCAGTGAATGCCTCCATAAATCCCTTTAATTCTCACTAGTCGAGCGAGTACTGGCTGGACCTTTTGCTTGTGCTCCTGCAAGACCACCATCAAGGGAATCAAACCTTTGGGTGGGCCAAGTTCCTCCTCACGGTATGGTACCAACCACCCATTATGCTGCCATAGTTCTTTCTTGTACGCATCCCAAGCATGGTCGGGCATGGTGTACTCTTGTACACTATTCGTTAGCTCACTGGGCAAGTGACCACTTACCCATTTCCATTTTGAAATGGTAGCACATCCATTCAAGTCTCCAAAGTGTGCTTCACCCAATTTGGTTAGGTGAATGCCTCCTAGCTCTTTGATTGTGTCGATCCCAAGAAGTAGGTCAAAACCAAACGATCGTTCATCCACAACTAAGACCTCAACATTCATCGGCTGAACCTGGATTCTACTAAAACTGTACACTCTCGTCTATCTACAAATACTTTTACAGCGGTCAATTTCTTGGTTTTCACTTGCTCTGGGAGAAGACTAGTGCTGTCCTCTCCTTCACTTGGGCATTTCCCTGGCACTCTGATGACACACGCTCAAGTTTATTGCACCTAAAGCATTGTATTTTGCGGTGAAACTTCCGCATTCAACCATCTGACCTCTCTTGGGGCCCTTGCATACAATCCTTCGCAATATGGTTGGGCCCAGAGCACTTGTAACAAATGAATGCCTTGCTGTGTTAATCAACTGTGAGCACCCTTGAAAACCAAATGTGTTTGGCCACTAGATGCAGCAACTGATTCCCTGCATCTTTCCTCGTCCATCATGATGATGCGTGCTTGGGTCAGAAGCTGCTCCACAGTCATATTGTCCATCTGGACGAAGGACAAAGAAGTTGCCTCACATATTGTGACAGCGCTGAAACACACACACACATCATCCATCGTTCAGGCAATGTTACTTCAACCAGCTGAGCTAAGTGATGCAGTTCAACCAAAAACTTGTCCACCATCTCATCCAGGCAAAGTTGCCGAATCACGACTTGATTGTATGCATTGAATGTGTCTGTTGTGTACGCAGTCATGAGGGCCCATTTAATCTGCTTTGCGTCTGCTTTCTGTTCCTTACTGAGCTGCCTGTATACAGCAAGAGCACTGCCTCAGTCGCTTGATCTTGTCCATAGCACAGAGTTCGCAGACCAACACCACATTTTCTATCCACTCGACAATTGGCACATTAGTTGCTGTGCCACTAAATTCTGGAATCAGCAGGCAGACATCAAAGGCCTTGCCATCCATCATGAGAAGTGTGATATTCGCCAAAATAGATTGTGTGATTTAAATGAAAATTGGGTGGTAGAAAAAATTAATTTCCACTCGAATATGCCCTGAAACAAAAAGTCAGGTCTTTTTATCCTTCCTCAGTCTTTGGAAAGAAACTGAGATCTCTTACTTGTGTTAGCCTCATTCTTGCCGATAACACATGCACTGTGTCACTTCAATATTGATTTGCTTGAGTTTGCCTCGCACTTCTATAATATCTACAAGCACATGTACAGATAATTCGCCTTCTCTTGCTTCGGTGAGGTATGTCTCCATCACAGAATAGATAAGTAAATTTAACAGTATCTGAAAATATAATTAAAACAAATTGATTTGGAGGAAATTTATCATTAAAAATTTTAGGAAACTATTTATGGTTAAAAAAAAGAACAATTGTCATATTAGCGTTTAGTTGTAAAAATACATAAATGCATCCTCCTCCTCTCACTTTTCCTTAGTGCTTAGAGAATAGGGCCACCTTGGTGTTGCTGCTGGGTTTTCTGTAGCAAGTAGGTTTTTTACAAGTTGCCAGGTCCATTCCTAACCAGTTTTGAACTCTGTTTTCTTTTACCTAGACTGGTTGCTAACCAAGACTAGAGAGCCAAGTTTGCTCTGCTATTTTATCCATGGGTGAGAGAGAAGAGATAGATTTCCCAAGGGTATTTGTGTTAATACAGTTAACTTGAATTTGAACTTAGTGTGCTGATTCTACTTTCCATGCCAATAATTACTCTGCTATGTGAATATAATAATGAATTAAGTATTTGTTTGCACAAAATGTTTTTGAGGAAAAAATATAGACCAAGAAAAAAACTGGTAATAATAGGGTAATAGAGAACATACAATTTTTCTCAGTATTTACATGCTGAAATAATTTTTTTGAGTATAAAAAGAATATTAGTTTATTATACAAATATTCATTTATCTGTTATACTAAAAATTGGTAAAATTTTATGCAATAAATGATATTTGGATATTTTAAACATTAAAATTTGTTAAAATTGAGCTATTAGAATCATATTAGTAGTAATTAACAGGGACTACGAAATGTTTACAAACACTAAGAATGAATGTTTACGATAAATTTTGATCAGTAATAAAACTTAGATCTATTGGCTTATACTTTTGCTATTCAATTAGCTACTCATTTAATTTTATCTGATGCACAATTAACAAAATTTTGTCGATGATTTCAATAGTATATAAATCTCATAATATTTAATTCAGAAAAGGTTTCTATAAAGATAAATACATGTGCTATTTTTTTTTTTCCTTTTAGTTGTGCCGTCCTGATGCAGCCAGTGTAATGGAGAACAATGGCGAGGATACACCTATGATGGAATACGACGCATTAAGACCCACTGTTATTTCAGCCAGTGCTCCAGTAGGAGAACCTTCCTTTACTTCAATATTTCAGCCACAGACACTACTACAAGAATTTTCATTAGTCAACAAGGACATTCCCAAAGTTGTGGTTGAAAAAGTATGTCTTTGTTTTATTTATTTCTTTTTTTTGTTTAATGGCTTTATTCTTTTCTTGGTAGTTTAATGAAAAATATATTTATATTAATATCCTTTTGTTAGCAACATAGATTATTTAATAAAATGTTAGATTTGATAAGAAACTTGGAATTCTCACTTGAGAAATCTGATTCTTAATAATCTTTAACATTTGATTGTGTAAAATAGAAATGTGCAATTCCAGAAGAAATTTTATTGTTTAAATGTTTTCATGGATAGATTATAAAAAGTAGATTATAAAAAGATTATAAAAAGTTTCTTTTGACGGTGTGAATAAGTGAATATAAGTCCATAGCCTGACACCTGAGTATTAATCTGAAATTTTTACTTTAATCAATTCATCCTAAGCAAAGCAATAATGCCATTAATATGCAAAGGGCTACTGGGCATGAAAGAGAAGGAAAGACTTGAGAAGGAACCAAAAACCTAATCCTAAACAGGGAACAAGTGATAAATCTCTACTCCTGTTCAAAAGATTGGGTAAATAAAAATTTCAGAGTTCAGATACACATTAGAAGTTGGAGTAGACTTTAGAAGGAACTGGAAACCTAATCTTAAACTGAAAACAAGGGATAAACATCTACTTCTGTTCAAAAGACTGGGAAGAGTTGTGAACTTCTGTAATTAATGGAGAAGCATTGGGTTAAGAGCATTGACAAGGAACAAAATTTTATTGAAAAATATTTGTTGGGTAAAATAAATTTTTTCATCATTAGGTTATGAACTTTACACATTTAGTATATTAATATTAAGTTAGTAATTTTGATCATTTATAAGTTAATTTTGCTTTTTTTTTCTCCTTAAAACCTGTTTATATCTTGAGGTACTGCTGGGATACCTTGTGCTAATATACTGTTGTTGTAGAAAGAGTGTTAGAGGATAGGATTATGAATCAACAACACAAGATTCATAGTCCCACCCTATAACACTGTTTCTACAAAATTTTAAAATAAATTAGTTATCCCTAAGTTCTTTAACACCATATCCAAGACAATCAGAGATATAATTAGGAGAAAATAAATCTAACACCAATTCAGATTCTGGTACTTACCAAATAAATTGCTTACAATGTAAAAGCCCTTGTATTTGCAAGACATCTTGAAATCTAAAAGCCCATATCTACACTCATAAAAGGGATTTACATTTGGACAACCATTTAAACTCATAATACACAGAAATAAAAATGGCCATACAAATGCCGCCCTAATTAAAAAAGAACATAATTCTTTGTCGAAAGTACTTTAAATTACTAATTACCAACTATAAACACATGTCAAAAACACATTACATCACCAATCTTTATTGAATCCATTCTTAAAGAATCTAATATATGTTTATCTAAAACAAATGGTTCCCAAATCAACATGTGAAAAACCACCAAACATAATGTTTACTAGATATCCATAGACAAACTAGAATTATTATACAAGTACATACATAAAGCAATATTTACTATTTTACAGTTAGGCTTGGAATACATCGATTTCTTGGAATTTTGAAAGGATGTATTGAATTTGGAAGGTCATGAATTATACTGACATTTTTTAACAAGTCATATGCACATGAAACCTGATTAAAATAATAAATAAATTTTTTAATAAAAATACCAGAATTTTTTTCTTTTTCTCCACATTTCATTTTCTGATGAAGCTTTAATAAAAGTGAAACATGTTAGATTGATAAACATTTCCTATTTGTTTTTATAATACTTTTTGCATGGCAAAGATATTACATTTTGACCCTAGGCAATGTGCTCAGATACTACACTGATCCTTGTTAAAAATGCCAATCCTTATGTAAATAATCTCTCCATTTTTGATAGGTGCTATGCTCCTTATGAATACTGATAGAATATTAACTGATATAAACCATTTGCATTATTAAGCTTATTTTATCACAAATATTTAAACAGTTATCATAGCTGTTTAAATATTTATGATAAAATGCTTAATCCCATTGTACCTATATAATGGCTTATATCTGATCAACTTCTATTTCATTTGCAGAAATAATCAAATGTAAGTGGAATAAGTTTCATAACTTTTTTAATTAAGTTTTTGATCATAAATTTAAAGTATCTTTTACACGGTCCTAAAATGTACATACATTAAATGAGAATTTTATGAATTCCAAATAATTTCTTCAGTATTAAAATTATTTTTGGTATTTGTATCTTCAAACTTTTGATGGTAGAATTGTGTTTTTGATTTAGTGCCTACAAGTATCTTGGTTGCAATAATTTAAGCCATCTCTTTTTCCAGATGGATGCTGGTAGCCGAACATGTACAGTCAGTGCTATTAGTGGACGTCAGACAGTATCGCTGGTTGTGACTTTCCCTGTAAATTATCCAAACAATGCAGCCCCCACTTTTGAGTTTACTCAGGGTACTACATTACATGAAACTCAAAAGCAGCAGTTGCTACAAGTGAGTTTTGCTTCCAAATACCAAAATAGAAATTTTGAAAAGTGAAAACTTTACAAAATTTTATATTTTGTTGTCAAAAGTACAAATAAAAAAAATTCTTATTAAGTGCCCATTTAATTATTTCTCTTGGACTTAATGAACATTGATATTGTAAGAAAAGATTGGAGAGTATAATTAAATACAAGTAACTTTTTATATTTAATCTTAAAATAGATGGTAGTGCCAATGAAAAATTGTCAGACAAGGCTCAGTAGCAAACTGACTTGGATTTAAAAAAAAAGTGTGTGAGGCAATGAAAATTAAATATGGTGTCACTTAAAAGTTTTTTTTTTTTAAATATCTTATTTCTATTGAATAATTACCACTTTTTTTAATTAAATTTTTAAAATGGAGAAAAATTTCAATAAATTTGCAAAGAATACAGATTGGTAAAAAATAAATCTTTTTTTTTTCTAATGGGAGTCAGAGTTCTCCGTGGTTGGTAAATGAGAGCAGTTTTGTTTTGGAAGCATTAAAGTTTACAAGCTATTTTCTGCTCCAGTCAACCACAGATTGGAGGTCCTTTTTGCAGCCAGGTTAGTTTTGTCAACGTTACCAGATTTACTATTGAGGCTGGAGTAAATAGTAGTGCCATCCACATAGATGCCTATTTGGGAACTGATGACCTCAGGAATATTGTTAATGAAGATCAGAAATAGTGTAAGACCCAAGATAGAGCCTTGAGGAACACCAGTATTCATGAGAAAGTAACTGGAGGAGAACCTGTTTAGGATGACCTTCGTTTCACGGTTTGACAGGAATGATTGTATTAAGCCAAATAATCGTCCTGTAATGCTGTATCCCTGAATCTTACGAAGAAACCCAGTATACCAAACCTTATCAAATGCTTTAGAGATATCTAGAGCCACGGCTCAGGCTTCTCCGTTATTGTGAGGTGCTTGGTATACAAATTAAGTTATGGCTGTGAGCACGTCAGTGGTAGATCAGGCAAAGCAGAAACTATATTGCTTGTCAAAGAGCAGATCAAGGGATGTAAGTTGCATGACCACTTCAGCATTGATCAAAGACTTTACCAAAGACTGGTAAGATACTGATAGGATGGTAGTTAAATGGGTCAGGAGGGTCTCCAGAGTTCTTAAAGGCAAGGACAACAGATGAGGACTTCCAACAGGCTAGAAAGCAAGAGTTGGTGAGGCAGTAGTTGTATAGTTTGGAGAGGACAGGAGCCAGTTCAGGAGCACATTTTTTCAGGACAATGGCTGGTATCCTGTCACCACCACTAAACTTAAGGGAGTCTAATTTAGAGATGATGTGTATCTCACTTAGTAGAGCCACAGGTGTGGGTGAGCTAGATGAGTCGAGTGTTAAATTTGATGAGAATTTCCAAGTTAAACATTCAGCCTTATCAGCTGAGAAAGGCAGGACCTCAAATTGATTGAATAAAGGAGATATTGTGGGTTTGCTGTTGTTCAGTATGCTCTTGCAGAGCTGCCAATAATCTTTGGGACCAAACTTGCAAGATGCAATATGTTGTTTCATTCTTTCAGGAAAAAGTAACTTTGCTTCATTATAGGCAGTGACAGAGACGTTTGTTGCAATCAGACATGTCGCTATGGTACAGGCAGAATTAGTGATTCCTATGGGCAGTAACAGCTGAGAAGCAAGGGGATGAGCATGATTTGGAAAAAGAAATGTTACAGGGTTTAGGTGATTTTTCTTGTTTTTTTTAGAGCTGGTTTATTTTTATGATGGTTTATGGTCATGTTGGGATATGTTGGTGATGAAAAGGCCTAAAATAATAGCAGCAGTTCATCCTATGTGACATGCATAGAAAGGAGATGGTGCAGCCTGCAAAATAACGTAGCCTCAGAGTTGCCCACCTGAGGGGTGTGTAGGGATGCTTTTCCATGCACGACATGGCACTACAAGCACCCTGATATAATGCAACTGCTGCTCAGAGCAGCCACTTGAGACACTATGCAAGAGTTAGGGCTCCTAACTACCAGTTGGGAACAGCAACCAGAGAACTGTCAACCTGGTCCCCCCCGAGTATGAAGAGACGTTGCCACAGACTTTACATATCACAAGGAAATTATGACGTTACTTCTACGGAGGCCAGAGAAAAGGAAAAGATCTGGGAACCCCTTCCTAAACAGGAAACAAGGAATGAACCTCTATACCTGTTCAAGAGAAGTGGGAGGAGTTTTGACTGGATGATAGGCAAACCTATCTACATTATTACACAAAAAACCCCCCAAAAAACAAAGTTCTAACTTAGTTAAAGTGCCAGCATGCACTTTGAAAAGAGGTCAAAACCACTCCATGGCCATGACACAGGTTGAGTTAAATGTCTGGTGCTAGCATGAATATTTAAAAGAACTCTTATTCAAACAAAGTACTCAAAATAAAGTAAAACAAAAAAAAATAAAAAGAGGGTAGACTAAATTCGCTTCAATTAGAACATTTTTCAAAACTAAAAGAATTAGTAACAGCAATCAAAAACAAAAAGGAAGAAAAGAGATAAAAATAAAAAAATGAAAAGTACAGAAGAATTACTTAGAATGAGATTCAAAGACATAAATACTAGCTTGACTGATGACAAAACAGAAAAAACACGTGGTACTTGGTCGAATGAAAAGCTTAGAGGACCCCCACCCCACCCCACCTCCTGTTGGCCAAATGCAAGTGTCCCCATTTTTAAAATCCCATCACCAAGGATGGGGCCAGTGCTGGTCTGACCATTTTGTTTGAAGGGAAGTCAAAACCACTCCACGATCGTGACACAGGTTGAGTTAAATGTCTGTTGCTAGCATGAATATTTAAAAGAACAAAGTACTCAAAATAAAATAGTGACTTTTAGAGCATTTTGTAATTTTTTTTTTTGTTTTCTGTTTCTTTTCACTCTTGGATCAAATCAAGCAGTAGATCTTTTTCTAAGCTAATTTCATTTTGTTAAGATTAATTACATTTCCATTTTTTGTTTCTTTTAAATTATTTTTTTTATTTTATAGTCTCTGAAAGAAACATCTCAACAGCATGTGAAGAGGAATCGGTCTTGTCTGGAACCATGTCTTCGACAACTGACAGCAAATTTAGATAAGTTAACAGTGAGTTCTGCTTTTTATCTATTACTGTTTTTACTTTGCAATATCAGAGAAGAAATTTTTATTGATCTGAGAATTGTAATAGTAAAGTAGTTACTACCAAATCTCTATTGGTTATGGGTTATTTATTTTGGTCTCCAACATATAAGATTTTATTATTTAATTGATTAATAGGGAGCTTATCCTAAAAATAGAATTTTCCCTTATTTGTATCTCATCATGAATAATTATTTTTCTGATTTCTATCCATGAAATGTAAATTTTAATTTGTTCACACTAATGCATGCTACATACACACAAATCACATTAGATGAAAATATATGCAATTTACAATTTAAGATATTTAATCAAATTTTTTTTTTTTTTTTGTCTTTATACACTTTATGCACATATATTGATTCTTTATATTTAATCCTTTTTTGCAGTTCTGTCAAATGATTTCAGAGTTTAAATGATTTCAGTTTTGAAAATTCTTCTTTACCTGCTGGTATTTGACAGTCATATATGAATGCGTGAAGAAATCTTCCAGACATACTTTAGCTTGTATTGACAGTTGCTTTTACATAATATTGTTTCACTATCTATCTATCTATATATATATATATATATATTATTAAATAGTACAACTATTCTAAAAATACATTTCTGTTGAGCCATCTACCTCCCTATTGAGGAATGGTATGTGAATGTAGACAAACATGGCTTTTTAATTCACTTAAATGATGTTCATTTTACTTGAATTATTATAGAAGGAAATTACTGGAAAGTAATTGAAACTTATAAAAGCAGCTGAATGTAATACTCCTCATGCCAATGACACTTCCACCGAGCTTCTCTCGGCATAAAATTCACTGATTTTCTTTTGATGTGTTCCTCTTGAATTTATATTTAAACTGGGGTCATCAGGAGAGAATGTGCACCATTTTAGAGAAGCCTTCCTCTCAACGGTTTCAGTTGCACCCCGGGATGTGAAATATATTATAATGATATACCAAGTGTGTTGTAGATAAACTAGCTCAAATGTCTAACGGCAAAATCAGATTTACAAAAATTCCGAAAAATAAATTTTATTCATTATTAGAACAAGTTAGTTTATACAGATTGCACTTCTTAGAAGGGAACAATGCACAAACTTTACGCATCACTCTACACCATTAACTTTTGTCATATTCTAATCATTAGAAAACCTATAATGCAAACACTTAAATTTTTATTATGAAAAACAAACCTCTATAAAATTCTAAACTTGTTTAGAGCAAAAAATGGAAATAATTCTGTATAATTCATTAAATAATGGTAATTGTTCTTGTTGTAATTTTCAACAAAATTGTTTGCTGTTTGCACTTCAATCCTTAAAAATATTTGATTTGTGCTTTATAGACACAGTAAGAACATTATAGTTTATTTTAAACATAGTACATATCTTAATCTTTTTTTCCATAGGGGAGAAGAAAAATATTAGAAGTCAAAAAAAGAACCTTAATCTCATACACAAACAATACAATTTTGAAAAATAAAAAAAGCAAATCTATTTACAAAGAAATTTCATTTTTTTTTTTTTTTTTTTTTTTAATTTTCCAGGAAGTGGAACGAAAGACACCAGATACTGAGGATCCATTCAGCCTTTCAGCTAAATCTGGTGCATCCATTGTACCTAATTGTTATTATATTGGTTATCAGGATAGTTCTGTACCTTTTCCACGGACATCTGGAGCTAGATTCTGTTCAGCAGGTACATATATGTATATAAAACCTTACAAAATGTTCTTTCAATTTCTCCAAATAAGAGATCATAACCCAATTCTTTGGATTAGTATTCTTATCAGTTTTTTTTTTTTGTTTGTTTGTTTGGATACACAAAATATTACTAATGATCAACCTACAATTAGGCTGACTGAACATACTAAGTGTTGATCTTTTGGTTACTTCTTTACTGACTTTATTGGGTGAGGTTTGTGAACAAAGACTCATCCAAACATTAAAGAAGTTTTAATTGATGCTATATGATAGAGAAAAATGTTAGAGGTACAAAATTTAATTCTGTTTTTATTGCCTTATATAAGAAAAATCTTAAAATGTTTTAACTTTTGTCTTTTTTTTTTTCTCCTTCCAATAATTTTGACTTCATTTTTCAATTACAGGATATCTGGTCTGTTTTGGACGTCTTTCATCCAGCAAGAAACCACTGACTGAGCGTACACCCAAGTGAGTTTTCATAAGTTTAATAGCATCTGCTCTTCAAAACATCATAATTCAACAGTATATGACATACTGAACGGGTCCAGGGTAAAAATTTAATATTTGTTGTTATGTTTTGTTTGTTTATCACTTAAAAGCAAGAGAAATGAGAACAAAGATCATCAGTCAGAAAAAATGTACTCTATATTATCATATATAAAGCTTGAAATCTGTGTCTATTTGAAAACCTGATAATATATAGTTGTGTGTGTATCCCAATTCATTTTTATTATTTACATTAACCAGCTTGTCTTATACCTTGGCCAACCTAGTCATTCTTGTTTAATGGAAATAACTAATTTATTTAACTTTAAAATTAGTTTTGTTATTTCCAATCTGATCTTTTGTGACCTTTAAAAATAAATGGTTGTTTTGGGGTTTTTTTTATAGCTTTTATAATTAGATTGCAAAAAGATAGTTTCTGTCTCAAAGTAGTAATGAGTTTAACATTTAGATCACAATTAAATGGTGTAACAGGAAGTAAATGTTGATTTTTTTTTTTTTTTTTTTTTTTTTTCATAGTATATCTTGAAAATCTAACAAACTTTCATTTCTGAAATCTTGTTTTACATTTTATTAATAAAAAAACGTTTTATTAATGGATTTATTTTTTGAGATTATTTAAAGAAACAAACATTTTTTTTTTTTTTGTTTAAATTTTTTGTTTGAGACTTTTGTTCATAAAAATAACTTCAGTAGAAAAATTGAATTTTATTTTTACATTTTATTTAATAAAAAAAATCATTGTATATCCTCATGCATTACAGTAGCCTCTTCAGCCTGTCCATTTAATCCTTCACTCAGACTTGAACCTCAAACCATTCAATTTCTACTGTATTTACCATGTGCCATTGTAAACATACAGTGCAACATTTGACCAAGCTTTCCACCACCTGGCCAATGATTACCCCATGTTGCAATTCAATTCTCAATCTCAGTATGCACCAAAAGCTGCAAAAGGTAACAGGATGAAAGACAAATGTCATGTTGAGAAATAAGGACACAAACTTTGTTTCTCATATTATATAGATGTTTCATTCAGGGCTTTGCCTGCTCATCTGGGTGGGTAAGTAGGTGATACTTTGGATAACTATGCAGACTTGAACTGACCCCCTGATCCCAAGCATGACTGCTAATATAGACCAGCACCCAGAAATAATAAATGTCCAATTTGTTGTCACTTAGTCTCCAAAAACTCTTCATCTATTCTTTTACTTCCTTGTTCCCCTTCAGTCAAAGTGGTTGCCACTTAGAAAACTAGACTTTAAAAAGAACCACTTGCTGTCTATAAATCATAAACACTTGAGATCGAGATAAAACCATATTTCCCTTTTCTACATGAGTTTCCATATTTTCTCATGACCAAGGCAATATCTATATAGGTATTGCCTTGGCCATAACATATACTCTATATGAAATAAAGCAACTACCAAAATGTTTAAACCTGCCAAACTGCTTTAGACAATTTTGCTAATATTTGCTGCATATGCAAGTTTCTGAAAGAAATGACTGCATAGCTGAGCAAAATGACATGGCCTGTGCAATACTGGATATCATTACTAGTATTCATGAATAATGTGTACCTCATCTCTCATCCCTACATACATGCACTTATGTATCAACTTATTATGATCAAAGTGTTGCAATAGATGCAATGAGTTATTTGAGTAATGCACTATCAGTATGATTACACAGGTATAAAAGTAATGTACTGCTGTCATGTGCCAATGCTAGAAGCTATACATTAAGTATATTCATTACACATAAACTATATTTCAGAGCTGAATCTAATTTACTGTGTCTGTTCTTTTTATTCCTCCTCCTCCTTCCTCATTGTAAATTTCCTTTATAGAGAATATACTATAAATATTTTTGTATTGTTTCAGGTCTCTCTCAGTGCTTGCTTATTTACAATCATCAGGGATAAGATCTCCCCAGTCAACATCTTCATATTCAGTATTTTCACGAAGTCCTCCTACTTCGAGTGGGATGTTTTCTATCAGTAATTATTATGCACAACGAGAAAGGGTAAATATTGGCTTATTTTTCTTTATGCATCTTTTCACCCCACCCCAGTTATGAGGATGATTTGAAATACTAACTAAATCAACAACACTTGATTGTAAATCAATTATCAATTACTTATAAGGATGTTGAGTGGGTTGGTTTTGGTTTGGTATTGTTGATTTTAATGCCCTAAATCAATTTCTGCCCATAAAATGTTCTATTACTCTTACATTTCTCTTAGATTTCTTCAATTAATCTTGTATTTTGAGCTCTCCTTTGGATTTGAAAATCATCCATCAGAGATAAAATATCCAAAATGTTGTTTAATTTATTTCATATATTTTTTTTCTATAAACATAAAATTTCCATTTATATTTATGATTCAACATTTTTGACCAATAAGTCTGAGAATTTGTAAAATAAAAATAACAGTTGAATGTACTTCCTTTTGGATATGAAAAGTCATGCATCAGAGGAAATGCATTGAAAAATATTGTCCAAACTGGAATATAACTTATTTCAAGTATATTATAGAAACTAATTAATCACTGAAAAATATTCATGGATATATGTATTCTGCATTAGATTTTCAAAGTTTGGCCAGGCCTCATTTCCAACTTGTAGAATATGAGGATAGACAAAGATATGGTTTGGGGGGGGGCAATTTAAGGGAGGTAATTCTATGTTTAGTATGCTGAAGCCTTAAATAATTTCAGCATATTAAACACAGAATTAACTCAACCATCAATACCCATAATGTATCTTTAAAGAATCTTCCAAAACCTAAATCTTAGGCTTCAAGAACTGATGATTTTATAACAGCATAAACTTTGTCACATGTTGTTTGAAATATATTGGATTCCTTACCTGTATTGTCATTATTTCTGATTAGATATTTGATATTATTTATCAATTTGTCTCTTCATCTAATCTCTTTGTTTAAATGCATATTCTGTTGGCTTTCAGCCAAAACGAAGTCGTCAACGATGTCGCACTAGTAAAGACCTGACAGACTCCAAGGGAAGAGATGCAGAGTTGAAGAAAATGTCAAAGGTCAACCCAGTAATTATTTATGATATTGCTTCCCTTCAAATGCTGAACAAACAATTGGCTGAAAATTACATGTGAGTCTGTTACAAAAATTTTTTTATCCGAGTACCATTAGAGAATTTAACATAGTGTGTGTATGTACACATGCTCATCGCTAATATGTATGCACCTACTAAAGAATTATCAGCAATAACTTTTTATGACTTGGTCTGTGTATTTGATTTGCATACGTGAAGGCTGAGATGAAATTTCAAGAAGACTTTGATTAAAAATGACAGTGAAGATCTGAAATATTAATTATTAATGTTACCATGATAAGTAAAAATTAAATTATTTCTGTTTTTCAGCTTTATATTTCAAAAAATAAAATACAATTAAATTTTATTTAATTATATATTCACCATTATTTGCAGTAACATGTACTAGTTATCAAGCAGCTTTTCAATAACTTTTGATTAAAACTTCACAGGCTTTGATGTGAAAAAGTTTTCAGTAACCTCTTAAGCTGGTTTTCATTAGAAAATGTTTACCCCATCATATTTTCAGCAGTTGGCACAAGGTTACATGAATATGGTGAGTTGGGTAGATCAGGCCAACTAGATTCCAAAATTTTTTCCTATGTTGTTTTTACTGTATGTGACTTTGCATTGTCGTGGAGAACATTTTTTTATTGATAAGCTCAGGGTGCTTTCCAACAAAACTTTTATAGGTATGTTGCAGCTGCTGAACATATAAATATACATTTATTATTTCATTGTGTCTTAAGAAAATTTGAATACTACTCTGATTCCCCAAAACTGAAAATACATGATTCTATCTAATATTTAGTGATCAATATGATTTAGGATTTGTAAAAAGTAATGCACAATTATAGTAGGTGTATAATTAATTTGTTAATATATTGCTTTAGAATTATTTCCATTGATTTGAAATTTCTATATTATCAGAATTAACTTGGATGATATTCCAAAGATGTGTAGTCATAATGGGAATGTTGCTGCACAAGTTGGAAGAAAGGATTTAATTCAGGCAAGTATTCTCATATATCCATATATATCAATATTCTCATATTCTTTCACCCTTGTGTCTTAGTAGGTATCACAACACTCAGCTTACAGCCAATGAAATTCTTAACTAAACACTAAAAAAGGCATATATTCAACTCGCCGTGTTATTTCATTCAATATCTCCATAAAAACATAATGCATACCAAATAAAAGCTTATTTCATGAACTTTGTTTCTATCTTATTTATTTTTATATGTACTACAGTGTGCGAGGAACATTACAGTTTGGAAATAGAAACATTTTGGTGATTTTGCAAAATTTTGGCCATTTTTTCACCGACAGCAGTTTAGACATCCTCAAATTTTGTAACATGCACACTCCGCAGGGTTTATTACAATTTTGTTAACACATTAGTTTGAAAGTTAACATTCTAAGCTTCATTTTCATATATTTTATATTTTTTGATTTTAATAAGAAGTTTGTAAACAATTCAAATGAAAAGTTTGATCATAAAATTCAAATGCTTCTTGTAAAAATAAAAACACATAAAATATATCATTAAAACGCTCATTTAATAATCTATGAAACTAAATTAAAATCAAATATGAAACAATAGCTCCATTTTGCGAGTGTGCGATTATGTGTAACCATGTGCGACTTGCTCGGCCATCATTTCAACTCCACGTGAGACTCAATACACAGCGTCAACACAGACACAAAAGAATTGACCAGCATATTTTCTATGGACGAAATTTTCAAGGAAATTGATAAGAATTTGTTTTAAATATTAATTTTCTATGATATGTAAAATGTAAATGGGATTTAAAAACCGTTTTCATCATAAAAAATATGAAACAAAAATCAATTTGTTTACACTCAGATTCAAATCACAAAAAAAAAAAACGTAGGACTTATTGATAAAAAAAAAGGTTCATATTCAAAGAATGAGATAAAAAACATTCTACAAAAAAGTTCTAGAATGTCTTTTATGTTTTTGTAGTATTCTCACAATAATTATCAGCATTTCAGTTACCAAGTAACATTTTGTTTTGTTTAAAGTTACCCTTTCAAACAATTTTCTTACTTTTTAAATTATGAATGTATTTTAGTTAGGATTTATTGCTATCTAGATATTTAATGATTTAATATTCATTTTCCTAATTTATTATTATTTCTTAGTAATATTTATTTCATACGGATTATGATTGTTTATTTTATTCCAAAATATTTTAATGTGTCAGTTTTAAGGACCACTGTGGAAATAGGTTTGAGAAAATATTTTAGTGCTTCCTTATTTGTTACTCAGGTGTATGGATGACTCTAAATTTATATTTTTATCCCTGATTGTATTTAGTGCAATTTTTTATGAACTGCAAATAAACTCAAAATTCAGTAAGAAAACGTAGACAATAATTTGTAGATGACTACTAAGTGTTAAGCTTCTCTCTCTCTCTCTACAGTTCGGAAATTGTACATGTTGAGTTAGGACTGCACTCATTCAGCATCTGCTCCATATACATTCTAATCTGTTTATTTTAGGTCATTTTAATCATGATAAATGGAAAGAGCACCCCCAGAAATGGTTAGATATGAAATTTGGTGTTTCTAGTGTAAGAAGTATTCATTTTATGACACAATTCAAGCAATACATTGTGACAAAGAGTTAAAAAGGAATTTTTTTCAATTTTGAAGTGGAATAATCCAGAATATATCCATTCTATCACTCCCCCAAAAATTAGGCATGTTACTGGTATAATCATAATTTGATATTTGAAATTTGGGATGAATGTGGGTCTTATTTCCAGTTTTATGAAATGTCAAACCTCAGGTTATGAGTTGTTTGCACATTGTTGCAGAGGGTTTGATTTATAAAATTTGCATATTCAGACTGAATTTATTTAAGAAATATGCAGTGATACTATCTGTAATTTTATTATTAATTTCTTTATGTACCTAACAAGCTAGTATAATTTTAACTGTTGTTCTTAATTGCTTTTTAAAATATAGGACAAAATACCATATTTGGACTCCTAAGTCGAGCACATGTGTAAAAATAAATCTGCCAACATTAAACGGTTTGAGATATTTTGATGAAATAAAAACTGCTAAGTTTCTTTAATCATGTAGATTAAGAAAATGCAATCAGATAACACCTAGTACTTGTTTGAAATTTTCATCTGTGATACCTAGTCTTAGTTTTATTGCTTTGCTTGAAGTGAAATGATGAAAAAAAGTGAATTAATTTAGTGCTTATGCATCAAAATATAGCATCTGTTGATTTCAAAGAGATAAAATATAAAGAAAAGATAAAGACAGATAAATCTATAATTAATCAGGATTGTCCTCAAATCCATCACTGTCATCAGATGACTATTAATTTGTGGGTAGAAGACCTGAAGAGAAAACATTCCTACTGATAGCAACATTTGTCAGAAAAGGTTAAAAATTTTCAAATAGGGTGAACATATTTGAATATACTTGCTCTACATGATTGTAGATTTCACTATCTGTAGTGAATATATCTTCTGCAAATAACAGATCCTACTGTATTTTACAAAATCTTTTATCAAATTTCTATTCATCAGCCCTGCATTCAGTCTGAACATAGTTTGTCTTTGAATGTTAAAGATACTCATGCAATAAATAAAAACAAATATTTATATAATATTTAACTAATTTTGTCATCTTGTAAACTGACTAAAACACTTAAGTGAATTCTAATAATACCTTAAAGCATTTATTTTCATTGCAACATAGTTATGAAGACAAAATTATTTCAACAGCAGCACTAAACTTGTTATTCAGTTGATTTTATATTAGATAAATATTTTGTGCAATTTGTATCAGATTTCTGTCTGCAAATATTTTTTTCTTGTACAGATATTTTGCATAAGAGTAAATGCTTCTGCTGGTACAAATATTTATTGTATTTTATTTTTAAATTTTCTTGTAAGCATTTATAAATGAAAAAAAATTCCAGTTATTTCCTATAAAAATTTAGAATATTGACAGATTTTGATTTAACTGAAATCTTTAATATAAGGTTGATGAGCCTCCAATAAGTCTATATTTATTAACTGTTTTTCAATTCTATTAAACTGGTTTCTAACTAATTCAACAGAAATAATGAAATGTTTAAATAAACTTCATAAAAAGCTTTATCTTATTGTTGCAATTGGATGTGTGTTGTGTAGGCTTTGCTGAAAATAAAATGTCTATTCAAATTATTATTAATCCTTTTACAGTTATTCTACTTATTCTTATATATAATGGTACTGGCATGAAAGCTTGTTGTGATGATGCCTCCTGTATCAGAAAAATTGTTGTAAATTTACAGAAAAAAATCCTGTTTAAAGCAAAAGTGATTTAAATGATTTAGACATTTAAACTTCTAGAAATGCCAAAATGATATCTGAATGAAAAATTATTTTGTGTTTATTGAAATAATTCATAAAACATTTAATGTAATTTATTGATCACTTTTTCTAATTAATCTAAATGGTTTTATACATTTTTTTTTTTTTTTGCTTAAAGTGATACAACCAAAATAAAAACAAAAAAGTGTGTATCATTTATTTTAGCATTGGTATATATTAATTGAAGTTGAAACATTCTGAAATGTGTATAAAATTGTATTTAGTATGAATCTTTGATTCAGCTTGTAATACAAATTATATAAGAAAAACTATCTTTATTTGCAAAACATTTTTTCCAGATGTGGTCCTTATTATCTTTAGTTGCTGGTGGTGGACAGGAACTCTCAAAGGATCCTTATGATGGTGCCCCATGGGCTCAACATCCATTTGGAAGGAAACTAATTAAATCTCTGTAAGTTTTGTCCTTTGCTAAAAACTAAAACTACAAACCCATTTTTTTTATGTTTTTGTATCATTAAGAAATCATTAAATTATTTTTTTCTTTTTAATGGATATTTTGAAATTGCTGAATATTCAACAACTTGTTTGTGACACTATATTCATTGAACTGATAGTAAAATATTTCACTCAATTAGAAAAGAGGATTTTTGCATCAAACTATTAATGTAACACAAATGAATGCTACTGTTTTAGTTAGTCATGAACAAAACAAGCTTTAACTCTCTCTTTATTCAACTGCCTCCAAATAATATCCCATTACATGACATATCATCTTTTTTTTTTCTTTTTTCAGTATAAAATGACTGCAGCTAATGCTTTCCATTCCTTGTTTGAGCTTTATAGAATATTTTCATTACTAATTTATTTATAGCCTTGTGGAAATAAAGAAATGCATTGAAAATTTAAAATGAAGAGAATTACATTTCTTTTATCCATACACTCTTGCAACAGTAATAAGTATGAAAATGGAAAATGATTTGCTGTTATATGAGCGAATTGCAAACCTTGATATAAGCTATCACTTTAGTGCTAAAGTAGAATAAAATAATAAAAATATCAGTTTTCATGAATGCTAAAAATAAACTTATATAGAATTTGAGAGAAAAAAAATCATTACCATGCCACTAAGAAATGCTGTGGTTAATTCAAAAAATTATCTGTGGGCAAATCAATGAGATTTGTACATTGGAAAATGTTAAAATAAAATGTAAAATATAGTGATTTGAAATTGAAGATAAAAATGTTATGGTGAAAGTGCATATATTAAAAAAGAAAATAGTGAATACTTATAAACCAAATTATCATTTTGATAATATTATTTAGATGTTAAGTAAAATATAAAATCTAATCTTTACAATTTTTATTATGATCTGTCTATATCTGAGATCAAGTATTGTAATTATTTACACTATTTACATTGTTTGGACTGTTGTACTCTTCTTTGTTACCATATTCAAAACATTCCGGCCATTGTACATGCCAGCTTTCTTCAGTTTATCGGAATTTCAAACTGAACCCTTTATTTTGTGCACTGGAGGAGATTGTTCTAGTTTCACATGCCAGGCCCCTTCTGGATGTTTCAGTATCAGTTATCTCCCTTTAAATCAACTCTCCAAGTTTTTGTTCACCTCAGCAAGTATTGAACTCGGCTCTTTGGGTCAAGTCACTGGATTCAACCAATTGGCCAAGTGTCCTTGAGGACATCAGTGTATGAATTTTTTTTATTAAGATGTTTAACTAGCATCCATTTTAATATTATTTTAAAGTATTATCTTAACTAAAAACATGATGTTATAAAAACCTACTTTTTGATGCTAAAATTTATGATGCTAAAATTGGAACACTTTAGCATTTTTAAAATATTACCAGTTTACACAGTTCTAAGATTTTCAAAAGTTAAATTGAGATGGAGAGATGTGATTATGCCATGATTTGTTTCACATCTGACTGGTATTGGAGAATTCTTTCAGTTTTATGCAGAAAAAGTTGACTCTGACTGCTATCTATTGAAAATACAATCTGATTTGCTGATTATGATCAGGACTTTGTTGGAATGTGGAGGATAATGTGACATCAAAGAAAAATGATAATGGTAATGGCAAAATAAATAATTGTACATGACTGTCTGTGTATATAAATCTGTTATGGTTCAGTAAATAGCTAGTTTTTATTGAAGTGTGTGTGTGTATAGGGACTGTTAGGTCTCATCGTGAGGCACCAGGCAGAGAAGTTTCACCACCAGCTCCATGGAAGTGAGGCAAGGGGTGGCCCCAGTGTTTCCAGAAGAGGCATGTCATAGGAGCAGTGAAGATCAGCTAACACAGCAGCAGCAGACTCCTTACCAGCTCAGCTGAAAGATGAAGAAGCAGCAGCACCAGCCAAGAGCCACACTGATGCAGTAGACCACCTCCACTGGCTCATTAAGTATGTAGAAAGGCAGCAGGACAAGGAACTTGTAACCATCCTACACCTGAGAAACCTTCTCAGGAAGACCCAACTGACAGCTAGGAAGGGCAGGGTGCAGAAGAAGCTCGCTGATTTTTTTTTTATTAAACATTGAGTTAAAGGACATTGATGATTTTATTAATATGAATGTATTTTTTTTATTTTTTATATAACTATTGTGTTTATTGTCTGATTTTATCATATGTATAGCAAATATAATATTTGTGGAAATAAATTTAATTTCTTATAATTCATGCTTTCCCTGTTTGTCTTTTACTTTTACAATGCTGGGCTACTTTTCATAGTACACCATAATACATTGCAAGAGGAAGTACTTTTGAGGATGGTTAAAATTTATTGTATAAAAACTCTACTGTGAAGCATTGAAATAAGTTGAAATTTCAGGTAATTTGCTTTTTAAGCCCTGCATTATGTATCTAATAAAAATTTCCCAAATAGTTATATTTATGTGTAAATTTACATGCTTAATTAAAAAAATAACAAAGAAATTTTGATAAAATCTACCTTTTTGGAATTATCAATAATAAAATTTCAGACTCATTCACATTGCAGCAGCCATTACTGGTGTCATTTGCATATATTTGTTGCGGAATAGACATTCACTTGTCTCAATTATTGTGCATGCACTGATGCAAACAAATGCCAATAATGGCTGCCGTGTCATAGCCAACAATAACATGAATGAATTTGAACTTTTATTGTTGATAACTCCAAAATGGTAGATTTTATAAAAATTTTTGTTATTTTTTAATTAGGTATGTAAATTTAGAATAAAAAATAACCATTTGGGAAATTTTTATTAGATACTTAGCGTGGGGCTTAAAAAGCATATTACTCAAAATTTCTTAGGGAATCATTGGCATAAATTATATAATTTTTTGAGGTTCTTTCTGATCCATTATCTACGGTATATGTCATGAAATAGGGCAAATAGGGCCCCAAAATCAGGTAGGTGTTCAACTTCCTATTATTGCAAAACACCACTGCAGTTCACTTGCAGCGTGGGTTGGCCATCTTGGATCCCAAGGCCCGCACTATAGCAGTGGACTACTATAGTATGATTTAAATTTCATCATCAGTACATTTCATTAGCATTACTCATCCTACCAACTGAAATTTAAACATTGATATCAATTCTAAATGTGCAATTTAAGAGATGAAAATGTGAACAAATGTTTCAACAATCACCTAATAAGCTTTAACAAAGTATCCTACAATAAGTAAAGGTTCTTTTTTTCTTGAATTTCTTTGAATTTGAAAGATTTAAAAAAAGGGATTGATAGATTTTTTTTTTTTTTTTTTTTGTCAAGCTTATCTCCTTCATTCACTAGCAACTTGAATTTTTCTTTTATTTTTTAGGCTTGACCATTACATGAGCTTATATGATATTCAAACACTGGCTATGTTGAGTTGCATGTTATGGACAAAGTCCATAGCTCAGATTGTTAACCAGCCTCCTGCTTCTCCTCGACCAGAGAAAGAGAATATACCTCCAAATGTAAGTATTATTGTTTTAAAGAAACTAAAAAATAAAAAAAATGTTGGAAATTATTTTGTCTTAAATGTTGAGTACCTTGGACAATATAAAATAGTTTCTCTAGAATTTAGTAATTTCAAGTATTATAAAAAATATGTTGGACTAATCTTGTGTTTTTTTTTTTTCATTTTAAAACCATGTATTATTGCTTAGAACCATAAATATGTTCAACTACTTTTTGTGTATTATTTTCTATGTTATCTATTTCAGCAATGTATTAAGATTGCATTTATGGATTCATGCTTTTTTGTTTTGTTTTTTTTATCTCTTATTTATATACCAATAATTTCTCTCATCAGTTTAATTTTTAAATTTTTTGCAAAATATTTCAAAATTTAAAATATAATTGAACAGTAAAATCATTTTTAGCACACAATTGAAAACCAAAATATTTGCTTAATTTTGATAAAAATTGAAATCTTTCTCTATATGCTTTCTCTGACATTTTATCATTAGTTCTCATCAGTTGATATTACACTATTATATGAAATTTTCTTTACATCCTCAAATACCAGAACTATTTTCTCTTTAGATATAACATTTTTTTGTATTTTTCAATTACAGAGTCATATTATAGATATTCCCACTTGACATGACATTAGCTTTCAATGAAATAAATATTACCCTTGATTTATTTTTCTCAGATCACTAGAACAACTATTGAGACTGGGATTACTAAATAGTTTTATATTTATTTTAATAAATTGTATTCTATCAATATTTAATAACAAATTCTGCTATTTTGTGTATAACCTCCAGTTCATAGGCAAAACAGTTCATATTTTACTATTATTAAACATAGTTGTCCTTCAGTTTACTTTGTACAGTGGCTGTGAGGCCTTTATGCAAAAGTATATCAAACTTTTCACTGCTCAACTTTTTAAGACAAAAATGTCTTTTATCCAACACCTAATATATTTAATAAGGAAAAAAAGGAATTCTAATCATTCAGTTCTTTAATAAGAAACCTAGAATGTCAAATTGATATGAATCTCATTCTTGGCTGTTGACAACCATATTATTTGTAGATTACCTCACATGTATGAGAGGGGAGTTTAGTTTTTATTTCCAAATTTTGTAGCCATTATTGTTACATAGTTTACTTCCTAAAATTAATGAAATATTTTATTCCAAATATTTTAATTTTTGACTTTCTAAATTTCTCATTTCTTTCAGATTTATTCTGGTTTCTCTCAATATCTTGAATATTTTATTTTTTCTTGTATTGCTTAAATTTTTGGACATAATTTTTTTTTCTCTTTTTTCCAAGTAACTTTTTATTTTTTTTTATCTAGAGAAGTTTTATAAAACTGTTGGTTGTCTTGTAAATTAAAAAAGTATTGATCAAATCTGTTAAGAATTAATACAAAAAAATCCACTTGTAATTTTTTCTAAAGTCAGTTATACATGTATAAAGAAACTTGATCTATAAAACTTATGGCATTTTATTTAAAAAACAAAAACACACTGTTTTTTTGGATTTCCTATTTGAAATGAAAGTTAGATTTTGAATTGATATTGACAGTATAAATTCTCATGAGCTTTTCAAGATTTTAAAAATAAAAGTAAATGAGCATATATAAAAAAAATTATGAAATTTTTGAATGCTTTATTTTTTAAATAATCAGCCAACATTACAAAGATTTTGCGACAAAATGTTTAATTCACTGATTTTTGCTTTTAATTTTCTCTAATATTTGATTTTATAAACTTAATTTGTTCTTTAGCCCCTTTCAAGGAAATATAAACAATCTTTTAGACTGTTTTTCATTATTTACTTCAATCTTTAATGTAGAAATGAATAGATTTTAATTAATTTCCAATGTATTTTTATGTCTGTACATTTTCTGGTGACATCACTAGAAATTTTCAAAAGCCTGCACATTATAGATTTATAAAAATTGAAAATTTATTTTTTGTACATAAAGTAGAAATATATTAAAAATATTATGTTATCAAAACCAACTTGGGCTTCTGTGTTATGTAAAATAAAGATCATTTCTAAACTGTTTTTAAATTATTTAAATTTATATTCTTTCATTAACCAATATCTGTTGTACTATTGTTATTCATTTAACTTCAACTAGTATGACTGGTTTACCATTTTAAATGTCTTGTCAGCTGGAGATTCAGATTACACTGACTGCACCTCTGCAGAGGAGTACCCTCCCCCAATGAGGCCACCTGTTGGATGAATAGATTATTACCTGAATCACATCACTTTGGCCTTTACCTGGACTAGACAGCCAATCAATCATCCTGCTGGTCACTCCAAGCCCTGATTCAGCTTCTTACAAACTCTGGAAGAGCTGAATCAGAAGGCAGTGGCTATAGGGTCAGTCATGCTAAGAAGAGACAATTGTTCCAAACTATGCCTGAGCAAGTATTTAACTTGGGAACTAAGACTTAGGAAGTTAAACAATTATTGATTCATCATAGTGTGAGTATATTGGCTTTATAGCCTTTTATCTGCCAAGGTGAATGGGCTTCCTCCTTGGAATTTCCCCTAATAGGGCTCTGTGGTGGGTAGGGAGTACAGTTAATGAAGCATAATTTTATTATATGGAGACAGAAAGAAAAACCGAAGCTAAGAGACTCCACATGGAGTCAGATTCTGATCCAGAACAGCCTGAGGTACTCTTTCATAGATTTATAATACTTGAATCTAGAGAGGAGGTACCACTCACCAAATTATCACCATTCCTGATACAGAAGGTCATATACTCAATGCTTAATCCAAAGTCAGTAGAAAATCTTAAAAAAACAATGGAAACATCCTGATAGATTTATCAAATAAAAAACATGCGATCACACTATTAAAGACTAAAAAAATTGCATAACATCTATATAAAAGCATACTCACATGAAAATTGAACTACTTTAGAGGTGTGGTTCATAGTGGAGATCTATAGAAGAAATAAAAGCTGAGTTAAAACAAAATGTGACTAACATCAAAAGGATAACAATTAAAAAATAAAATAATTAATACTAACACATATATATTATCTTTCAATACTCTGACACTGCCATCTGAAATTAAAATTGGATATTTAATAGCTAAAGTAGAAAAATATATTGTAAATCAGAAGATGCCATAAATGTGAAAAATATGGTCATCTAAAGGAGTATTGTACAAGAGAACAGGCATGTGCAAAATGTGGGGTAATGGAACCAAACTATGATACATTTTGGTTGATTTTTACATGCTGTATCAACTGCAATGGAGATTACAGAACTGATTCTAGAGTATGCAAGACCTGGGAAAACGAAAATGAAATAACTAAAATCACTCAGAAATTACATTCCCAGAGGCTAGAAAATTTATAGAATCTTCCTTTTCTTTTCAAAATTATGCAAAAATCACCAAAACACCACCAAATATAAATGAAAATTAGGAAATAACCTGGAGAAAAACAAAACAGAAACACATTGATAAATGAATTGCAAAACCTCATTTGTTATGCTAACCAGCATAACAAATATGGAAATAGCTTTATACCTAATTAAACCATAACTCAATAACTGAAGAAAAGGAAAAAGAATGAAACACAAATCAGTAAGGAAAAAAAACATAGATCTATATCAAAGATAAGTGCAAAAGACTAAAACCAAAAATCGACCCAAAATAGCCAACCGACAACAAAGAAATCTGAAAAATTTTAACAAATGGAAATTGAAATGGATCCTTCATATCATAAACAAGACAGCATAATTAACAAAATAAAAATCTTATGATGGAAAAGAAAAATGATTATTTTATATAAAAGGACATGAAAATCCAGTAAAAGTCTGAATATATTAAAAATTATCAGATATATAGCCATATATATGGGGCAGGACAGTAGGCTTGTGAAGGAACTTCAATTCTCATTTGAAACATCACCACCCAGAGCCAAATTAATATAACTTCCAACTTTTCAACATATGCTTGGTATATATACCAACAAAAAAATCCCATAAATGAAGATGAGCACCAATGTTTGATAAACCAAGTACCCAAGCCTTGTATTTTATTAGGAGACTTTAATTGCCATAACATTGCATGGGGAAATAAAGACACAGACCTTAAAGGAAAAACCATGAAGAAAATTATAAATGAGAATAAATAAAGGAGCGTATACATATATAAACCTTTTTTTTCTTGGAGAACTATTTAGCCATTGATCTAACTTTGGGGCCCAACAGTATATTTGGAATTGGGATATAAAAGATGAAATTTATGAAAGCGACCATTTCCTGGAAAACACTGAACCAAGTAGTGAAAATATTCCTGGTGGAAATTGAACGAAGCAAATTGGGACAAATTCAAAGGATTTTGTAAAGAAAAATTAACACAAAACAACTATAGATTCAACAGAACGCTTTCCAGAGATACTAATTACTGTAGCAAAGAAATGTATCCCTAAAAATTCAACAAGTAAATAAAACAGACCATGGTTCAATAGCAAATGCTTGCAAGCCATAAGATTACAAAAGTCATCTTTACAAAAATTTAACAAAGAACCTTCAACAGTAAACTTAAATAATCACAAGTTATATAGAGCAATGATCATAGAGCAATGAAAGAAGCCAAAAAAGAATGTTGGCAAAAATATGTCAACAAGCTAAGTTTCTCCTCAAAAACAAATCAGTATGGGAAATGGTGAGGAAAATGGCTGGAAAATACCAAACAACACCAATTAAGCATCTTTACAAAAATAACAATATCATGACCAGCAAAAAGGACAGCAGATACATTAGCTGAAACTATTTAAAAATAGTTCTTCAAGTAAAAATGGAAAACAAAAATTCCTCGTCTTAAAACAAAATACATCCTCTATACTTTCAGGAAGAATTTGATAAAATCAAAGAAAATTATTCCAGTCATACACCCATCTTTACAGATGGGTCCAAACATGGAAATATAACTGGATGTGCAGCAGTATCTCCAAAGAAAATAAGCAGTAAACACCTTCCAGATGAAATCTCCATCTTCAATGCTGAAGCCTGTGCTATAGATCTAGTACTCAGCATTATTTCAATAAAAAAAAAAAAAAAAATTATAATCTTTTCTGATTCACTATCAGTTCTAACAGAACTAAAAAATAAAAAATATTTGATAACACATTAATAGTCAAGTCGCTAAATAAATTCCATTTAATATCTGTGTGGATAGATGTTGTGATGTATTGCATCCCATGTAACAATGAAATAACTGGAAGCAACAAAGCTGACTCAGTTGTTAACATGTTGAAAATATGGAAATTGATTTGAACTTTAAGATCCCTTACACAGACCTGAAGGTCAAAATAAACAGATTTATTAAACAAAATGGCAACAATGTTGGAGTGATGATGTTCCAAATAAATTACTACTAATCAAGCCTGTACTTGGCAAATGGAAGCCAGGATACAAAAACCCTGAAAAGAAGAGGTGGTATTAGCCTGTTTGTGCATTGGCCATACAATAATTACACACTGAAAGGGGACGCACAACCAACATGAAAATCTGCATACACTATAAAATATGTATTGACAGAATGTATAGCTCTTGCTCCATCTAGGAAAACTTCCTTCAATATAAACAACATAAAGGAGCTCTTTGAAAGTTGCAAGGATGGATGATATATCATTTCTCAAGAGTCGGTTTATACCAAAAAATATAAACCTTAAAAAAAAAAATGACAGCTAAATCAACCAAAGTAGTTAACACCATGTGATTGTTAAAAAAAAAAAAAAAAAAAAACAACCCAAAAAACTGAAACCATAAGTTGATAAAAAAAAAAATAAGTAACTAAATATTTGATACCACATGACTGGGTATAATAAAAAAAAAATATAAGAATGTCTTGGCTTTAAATGACCCATGAGGGGTTGATAAGCTGTAAAACAAAGGAAGAAACAAATTACCATTTTAACTTTGTATCAGCTTGAACAATTCAGTATTAATTGTTCTTTAATTTTATTTACAGTGTCATCAGAAAATGATTAAAAGTCTCTCTGAAGGATTATGGTTAAAATATTGATTTAAATTGATTCAGTTAAAAAATATTATCTTAAAAATATCTATTAATTAATTTTCAACTAAGGTGTAAGTATTCTAAACTCCCAAATTGGTAAAGATAAAAACTAGTTGCACAAAAGCATCACAAAGATCAAACTCTGATTTTCATGGTTTGATTGAATATCAAAAGGCAAACTAATAACCTGAGGGCTTTTTTTTTTTTTATTGTGAATTACCTCTTTTGTATTCAAAATCAGTCTATGAAAAGAAAAGATTAAAGTTTATTAATCTGTTGTTTTTGATGATTGATGCTCTATGATTCTCTCTAGAATGATTATTCAATCTTGGAGAGGGCCAGCAGCCCTGATGACTGGAACATATTATGTAAGTGGGATCTTCTCTTTCAGACACTTCATTCATATTTTTCTCTTTCTCCATTCTTACAAAAAACATCTTAATTTTTGATAACCTGATTAGAACTCTTGAAAGAGTTTGAAATTATCATATTTTATCATGCAAAAATGAATTTATTATTAAACATCAAAATTTTAAAAAAAATAGCCTTGCTATGATCAGATCAATGATCTAACGGATTTATTCACTATATTAAATAGCTTATACAGTGTGCTATAACTTGTTAAATTCCTCGTAATCACTAACCTTTGTAATATTTCAAAACAGATATTTGTTACAAAAATTAAATTTTGGTTAATCTGGTAATTTCATTTCAATCTTTTGCCAGTTATTTGAAATAATGAAATTTTTTTTTTGTGAAAGAGAAAAATTTGATTTCTATTATGCTGTCACTGTCTAGGTATTCAAATGAAACTTAAATATATAATTCTTGGTGTCTGAGATATTTTTTTTACAAATTTCTAATATTTCTCAGCTATAAAATTTATGCATATCTAATATTTTATAATATACACATGCATATAGCATTTTGCTATGATTGTAATTTTAAAATTTAAATATTTTTTTAGGTTATGAAACTTTAGAATAAAGAATTAGTACTGATAAAATCGAATAGCAGTTTAAAGAAAAAATCATTTTAAAATTACAAATTCTCTTTTTTAAACTTTCCTAACCAGAAATCTATCATAACTATGCTCAGATTTTATGAAATCGTTGTTTTCACAATAAAAGTGGTACTAATGTTGGTAAATTTTTTAAGATATGTTTATATGATAAATATACCGTGAATTTCAACTCTTCTGCTTTTATAGGAATAAGAAAATATTGTAAAGTTGTTTAATGATGGGAAAACAATGTTGGAAATTTGCAAAAAAAGTTGAACAGAACAAGGATCGATGAAAAAAGGAATTGGAAACAATAGCATGATAAAAAAAAAAAAGAAAACTGGCTTTAAGAACGTCACCGAAAGAGTCTTTAGTAAAATTAAAATGGTAATAAGAAAATATTTAAAGAAACTGCTGCTATAAATTAAATAGAAAAGATGCTGAACATTAAGAATATGGGTTAAAGACATGAAAGTGACCAAATGACCACTTTAAAAATCACAAAAAGAAACATGCAAGTTCAGCAAAGTAGACTGATGTCTCTGTAATAAGGAACAAAACTAAAGAAGTACTTTAACGAAGGCTTTAATAAATGTAGTAGTCCATGATGGGGCTAAAAGTAAATAAGAATACCAAGAATACAAGTAAAAGGGGAGATATATATATATATATATATATATATATATATATATATATATATATATATATATATATAATAATTTTATCATATAGACAAAAACAGTTTACTCACTACAAAGATGCAACTTCATTTTGGTGCATTTCAATTGCACCTTGACTGGTGAGAACCAAAAATAGTTATGAACAATTCTGCTTGTAAGCAAGCCGTATGTGAAACATCACTTCCTTTTTTTCCATTTGTTTGAGAAAAAAAATATACATAAAGCAAAAAGGTGACAGAGTGAAACAATAGTGCTTGTTGATAGCAGTTTGGTGAAGGATGGGCGAGGTGTTAAATGATGGCCAGACTAGAAAGATTCCTTTTCGATAACAATGGTCAAAAGTTTAGGCACATCATTTTCAAGCCTCCTAAGAGTGAGGGGTGGGGGAGGAAAGGTGGGAATAGGAGATAGTAATACGATGAAAGAGGTAGGAGGAATAAATTCTAACTATAGTTATAGTAGTAATTGGGAATTTTTTTTGTGTGTGTGTGGGGGGGTTATTACAAAAAAAAACAGGCTGAAGCTGAATTGCATATATTTAGGTTGGAGTTATCACTACTAATTCTGTAATCAATGAAAGTGTTTTGTAAATTAATAAATTTAGAAGTGGTGATTTCTTCTTGGTATGTTGAATATATAAGTTATTCAGATTTAAAAAAAAAAAAATAAAACCTGTTTTGATTTAGAAATTAAAATATAAGTAGAAAAATATATAAAAGTATGGGGTATTAATATAATTTTTATAATCTAATTTTGACCTATTGGTGGATAGTATAATGTGTAGAATAAGTATGGGTATAAAACAATTTATCTGAAAGCATTACTAGTAATATGTATGCCCAAAAAAACATTCTAAGAATCATAATCTAAGATAAATTAGTGGAGAATAAGTATATCAAAGGAGATGAGTTATAATTTTAAACTTTTAGAGTTATGGATTTAAGAATTTAGCAAGATTGTATTGTTAGATCATTAATATGTCTATAAAAAAAATGGTCGTTTCATATCTTTGATTTAATAATTAGGTGTTGTTCAAAAGTTCAATAATACATATTTTCTCCTGCAAACATAAAAAACAAGGTTCGTTCAAAGATTTGCAAGAAGAAATCACCGCTTCTAAATTTATTAATTTACAAAACACTTCTCCAACCTAAATATATGCAATTCAGCTTCAGCCTGTTTTTTTTTTTTTAATTTTTTTTTTTATAGTAACCAAAAAAAACATTCCCAATTACTACTATAACTATTGTTAGAATTTATTCCTCCTATCTTTTTCATTGTATTACTATCTCCTATTCTCATCTTTCCTCTACCACCCCTCACACTTAGGAGGCTTGGAAATGCTGTGCCTAAACTTTTGACTGTTGTTATCAACAAGGAATCAAATGAAAAAAGGAAGTGATGTTTCACATACGGCTTGCTTACAAGCAGAATTGTTCATAACCATTTTTGGTTCTCACCAGTCAAGGTGCAATTGAAATGCACCAAAACGAAGTTGTATCTTTGTACTGAGTAAACTTGTTTTTGTCTATATGATAAAATTATAATAAATAATTATTGCTCTACTATCAGTATCAAACCCTCTTTTTGATTAATGTTGTGAACATTAGAATTTATATATTTTTGTTCTCATTGCATTGGTGAGATATATATATATATATATATATATATATTATAAATTGATTTAAAATGTTTTTTTTTTCGCTACACAGTTCTAACCATGTTTCAAAAATGGAAGCTAAAAGCCACAAATTTAATTTTTGTGATTAAATCAAAGTTCCATTTCATCTTCAAGCGAATTTTGGAGTAAATTTTTAAAATTACTGGGTTTTAAATACACAGCTAAAACAAAATTCATGTTTCCAAGGTTACAGATAAATCTATTTTTCTAGACAGGGGTGGCTGGGTTTTCAATATGTCTATAATTTAATGTATCAGTTATTGCTATGTTTGGGTCGTGGGAAGGATCTATTTTTCAATGAAATCTAACTTCCGTTAAAGCCTGTCATCTAGATTTTTTAAAATTATATTGTTAGTGATGAAAAATTCTTACGGCCTTTTTTTTTTTTCGTATGTTTAAAGTATATTATGATTTTTTTAAATTTTATATTTAAATATTTCTAAAGTAAAATTTTTCATTACTCTGATTTAGTAAACTTTATTTATTTATTTAATTACAAATTAAAAGAAGTTTAGGTTAGAATTCATTTTAATTAACTACAGTTTTAATTACAACTTTAAAATATTTTCATTGTTAGTTTTTATAGGCTATATTTCAATTAATAGAAGTAAAATGTTACTTACCATCAGTAAAATTATTTTTCTATATCAAGTATATTTTTATATTACGATTTTTAAAATTTTTTTTATATTTAAATATTTTTTAAGTAAAATTTTTTTTTTATCTTTACGGCAAAAATAGCTACTTCATTTCTCTATTTTAGTAAACTTTATTTATTTAATTACAATTTAAAAAGTTTAGAATTCATTTATTTAATTATGTCATTTGCTGAATTGGTACTTATTCGTTTACTGATAAGTACAAATTCAGCAAATGACAAGATTTTCGATGAGCATATTAATTCCTATAATAAGGCTCTAAAAGTGAGTGGCTACAAAAACCCAAAACTAACTTATATAAAAAATGAAAAGCATAAGAAAAACAGATGTAGAAAAATAATTTGGTATACGTCCCCATACAACCAAATGTACAAATTAGGACAAAAATTCCTTGCATTAATAGTCAAGCATTTTCCTAGTGAAAGTAAACTAAGTACTATTTTCAATAAAAACACACTAAAATTGAGTTACAGCTGCATGGAAAACTTAGAAAAAATTATTAAGAACCATAATGCTAATATCTTAAATAAACACTTATACCATAACCAAAAAATTTAGACAATGTAAAAATAAAAAAAAAATGAAAAAAAACAAAAATTATGTAATTGTAGAAACCCTCATAATTGCCCTCTTCAAAATAAATGTTGCACTGAATCAGTAGTATACCAATGCAATATCTCTTTGATTGAAAGTCCTGAAAACATAAAAATATATATAGGTTGCACTAACCATGAGTTCAAAAGAAGATTCAACCAACATCAAACTTCATTTAGAATAAATAAATATAAAAATCAGACATCCCTATCAAAATATTTCTGGCACCTAAAAGAATCAAATAAAACACCTACAGTAAAATGGAAGTTAATAAGAAAAGCTAGAATATGTAGGTCATTAAATGACCCATGTCCTTTGTGCATACATGAGAAACTATATATTGCTAAGTTTATAAAAAATAAAAATTTACTGAATCAGAGAAATGAAATAGCTATTTTATGCCGTCATTGTCAAAAAAATTTTCCTTAAATAATATTTAAAAAAAAAAAATAATTTTAAAAATAGGATCAGGTAATATACATACTTATATTTAACATGAAATATTAATAGTCGAGCATTTTCCTAGTGAAAGTAAACTAATAACTATGGAAAAAATTTTTTTTAAAAAAATACTTAAAAAAAATTTATAAATATAAAATTTTAAAAAAAATAGTAATATTAATATACTTGATGTAGAAAAATAATTTCACTTACTTTAAGTAACTCTAATACATTTTACTTATATTAAATGAAATATAGTCTAAAAAAACTAATAATGAAAATATTTTAAAGTTGTAATTAAAATTGTAGT